ATGATATTATTCTTATTATTGTTACATTTCTATATATAAATACCAAATATACTAGTATTCGAGCAGTGCTGAATGAACTGTGAAGACAAGCGGGAAGTTACAGTGATTCACAATGCCTATTATTGGAGAAAATATTTTAACTTTTTTGCCTGCCTGAGACCATTAATATTGCTGTCATGTTCCAGTTTGCTTTATGTGGTGGATGCAGATGCAGTTTTTACTTAGCATTATATATAGATATTAATGCAAGTATTGCTGTAGAATATGGGCATAAAGCTATAGTTTGGCAAAAGTACCATATGATAGGGGTTGCTATGGAATCTGCAAGCACAACATTTTTATAAAGCAATACTGCAAATAGCAACACAGCATGTAATTCTGATTTCTGAACATGAATATTACAGCTATTTATTACTTTGAAAATTAAAATGGCTTATTACTTTCTGTTTCAAACATACATTTTCTGAAAAACGTTATCATTGGGTTCTTTAACCAGCTGACAGATTCTACACAGATTATTATCAAGATTGCTGTTAAAGTAACATGCTTTAAGACAATAGAAAATGAGAGAACAGAGCATGTCTGGCACTGCTGGTTTCAATTGTTATAAATTGTTTATGAAGCGTCATTCCTTATTTTCATCAAAAGCTTTTCTTGCAGCAGAGAACATGTGTGCTTCAGCATGCAATTTCCCCTCTCGGGGGGGGGGGGGGGGGGGGGGGATGAGAATGTTCCGCAGTTTACTCTGCTCGGGTTACACTGCAGTATTTTTTTTCATAGCAAGCACTCAGATATGGCTGTTTCACTGAGCAACAGCTCTCACTGATCAACAAGGAAAAATAAAATATGTTAAGTAACAGAGACTTCATACGGTATCACATAGACAAACACCTAGCTGTGCTCAGAGAATGAAAGCAATGGGTACCATCCCCCACTGGAAATGATGTTGCTAATGCAGAGGTTTGCGAGCCACTGACTATTACTACACTGCAGAGATTTCAGATTACTTCTGCTAATGCATTATAAAGCTAGTTAAGCCTTTTTGAATACATACTACAGAATGAGGATCATAAGAATTTTCTATGTCAAAAATGCATTTTTTTAATAACACTTCATATCATTAATGACTGTTTGTCCCGAAAATGAGGCAGATGCTTTCATCTGTGACTCTTTTGGAAGGCTGGGGCTGTTTCATAGGTGCGCCATGGGATAAATTAACAATGCCTATTAACTAAGTAAAGATAAATCGGTGGAATTCCCCAGTGCACCTACACCCTTCAGCTATATCTTAGTAAGTTTGGAGAATGTGGCAGTTCTTAACCAGTGTCGTGTCAGTTCTGGATATAGGGCCATATGCCCTATAGGGTATAGGACCTAAATACAAAACTGGTGTTCCAGTCACAAAAGTATTACAAACAAAGCTATCTTTACACAACAAGCCGAATGATCATGTTGTAGCCTCATAACTTCACTAGAACAAAACCAGTATAAAATCCATAAATTCTCTGCAAAGCTATAAGCTGCAATTTGTATTTCTTGACCCTTTTTGCGGCTGAAGGCAGCAGGCACAGAACCATGATCATCTGGCAGGTGTCTATGCCCTCTACTGGAGGAAGACAGACTTAACGATTTATTATAAATCCTGTGCTGCTACCAGGTGGAGGAGATGCTCTTTTACTTAATCTGATGTATTTATGGTACTCAGCAACATACATTTCTGCTTTAAAATAATACAAACAACCCCCAGAATATATTTGAGTCCTTTTTACAAAAAAGGTGAATGAGTATTATCCCATCTCTTCCCCCTGCCATCTTTCCCTTTCATACTTTCACAATTTTGCATGCTGGGTACAGGAATCTTGTCTTTAGAAGTGACAGTTTTTCTACAGAGGTGAGCAAGGCAAAGATTTTTTAAAAAACAGAACTTTTCCCCTTCTATGTCCTAATATAGTTAGGGCAGGTGGGCACTGGGGGCAGGGGAAGACACCTTCATAAAATACTGGGTGGGTAAGAGACAGTAAAGAAAGATTGTTTCTGAGCACATTTAAAGGGAGCCATTCTTACAATTTTTTCATTCTGTGTGAACTACGACAGTAAGAGTGCAGTGTCCTCCTGTTCTAGGAATTCTGCTTAATCCTTTGTATACTGATATATGACTGGCCCATTGTGCTAAAACTACTGTATCACTATTAAAACATGAATACATTTTATACCTGCAGGTTAAGAAGGAAGACTGCAAGTCAACTGTGTCTTCCATAAAGGCAAATAACTTCCAGGTATGCTGGAATAATTTCAAAGGTATATAAAAAGATACAAGTTTATTCAAATACATACACTTGAAAACTGCAAAGTAATATATATGCAAATCAATATATTGTTTTCAAAGGAGCAAAAAGTTTAGAACTTCACTCAAAAACAGACAGTGACTTCAGTTGGATTATGACATCAATAAACATAACAGTAATAGACATTTTATAGGGTAAAATAATTTTATAAATGACCCCATATACTTCTGCTCATTATCAAATTTGTAGAAAAATTACACACACTTTTCATGCTTATTCCACATAGAGTTTTTAAGTTACATACCTGCTGAGCAATGACTTAAAAAAAAAATATTTGTTCTTCAAACAGCTATTCAAGAGTATATATATAAAAAAATCCTAGAGGTTTTTGTTAAACATTTACATTAGTAGATTTTGCAATTATTGTTAGTCACTGAGATAATAAAACAAAAACTATTCTGGATTTGAAAAATCAAAAGAGGAAGTTTTAATTCAAATCAGATACAGCTACTAAAACTGTACACATTGTCCTTCAAAGCACAGCATAACTGAGTTTTTTTTTCCTGTTAGCTATATTGGCCCAAATATACAGCAGCTACTCTTCACAACAGAAATGAAACTGGAAAAGAATGCATTATATACTCCATGTACAGGCCCACCTGCGCACACCCTGCCCCAACATCCTACCACGTGTATGTAGTAACCTCTTGCTGGAGAGTCTGCCTGTTAGGCCCTGTAAAGGCACCGGTTACCAAGTTGCCTGAAGACAGCTGCTGCGGGGAGCATCAACTCTTCTAACAAGTGTTTTTAACTTCTCCTGGGAAGCATGGATTTCCTGAGGGTAAATGGGATTAACGTGATTCTGTTATTGCCTCATAGGGTTACTTTGGTGGCAGATCCCAGGCCACCCTCCCCAGGGTGAGCTGGATCCATTGCTCAGCAAAAATGTGGAGACATCCTCCATTAGACTTGGCCACCAGAAGACAACACTGGAGCTCTTCCCAGACAACTCATAAAAATCTGACAAAAACCCACGCAGTCAAATTGGATTTTTTTCTGAATTTTAGAAAAATTTCTCTGGTAAGGGTAACATGAACATTTCATTTCATCTAGACTGTGACAAGTTGATATTGATCATAGTTATAAAGCGACATATTATCTACATGACTAAAACACACTGCCTCATTGCTAAAGTGGTTCTCCCTTAATTTTACCAATCATTGCTTGTTAATCTTTACAAACCTCATACAATAAATACACAAAGACTAAAACAAGTACATAAAAAGGTTACCTTTATTCTTTTGGGTTCTTAGCAATGTATTTATTTCTGGTAAAACTTCCTGCATGCAGTTCATCAGTATAATATGAGCCCGTAGTTTCTATACAAGCAGGAGCCCATCTGTATTCCAGTCGTTTTGTACGAAATACAAGGTATTCCACTGTCCACTGCACAAGCTCACTATTCATTCTCATGAAGAAAGATTTTGAATAACAAATTATATTTAATTATACTATTTCAGCATGAACCGACAAGAAAAGCAGACAGTGTGATACTAACAGTGGGGAAAAGCAGTTTCTATGATTTAAGATTACCTTGAACATTGACAGACAGGATTATAATTTCAAAAGAAACTCTTCTATCTTGTTTCACATACAAAGACCTTCCTATTGATCAGAAAAAGAACTGTGCTATTTCTTTTAAAATTATTCCTTACTAAAATATGTTCTGCAATTAGCAGAAACTTGCCGTTACCAATTCACATTGTATCTTAGGTTGTCCAACACTGAAGTGTCACAGATAGACAGCAACAAAAATTACTAACAATGTGAAGATATGTGTAGTTTCTTTAAGTATAAAATGTTACAAAATAAAACTAACAAGAATAGATCAACAGATATATATTACGAAAGTTGTTTTCTAGCCCCACATTTTAAGCAATGTACTTCTCCTGTGTAGTCTGGTTATTTACTGCATACTTGCTGATCGAAAAACTCAAACAAAATAAAATCTATAATAGTAGCAAACTATTGCTTACTGGTATGAGGCATGATGGTCTCATCAATCAGTTTTTTCCTTTATACCACTCATTTCTTCCCACCTTAGACTTCACTAGCTGTAGGGTAATAGCAGCAAGCATGCATTGGTTAAAGCTTCTCAAATATCTGGAGTATTACAGAATACATCATATTATCTATTGCAATGTTAGAAGCTACACTTACTAGGGTACGTATGTGATGCAATAAATACAGTACTTGGGTCATTGTCTCTGTTCAAACAGGTACCACTGCATAAAACAATTGATTAAACAACAAAAGACTTTTTACTTACATATGTAGTGTCAGACTTGAGGATAAAAAGTCATATAAACCACAGTGCAGGACAAAGCTGATTTAAGTACATCCTTTTGGGCATCTCAGTTTTCTATGGAAGATTGCATTACATACAGTGGAAACCTGATTGAAGTGCCAAAACCACCTCTGATATATATATTTTGCGTATCTGGCATGACCCACACTTCCAAAGTATGGAAATTTAAGTCTGAGGTATACATTAAGGTAGAACTTGTCCCAAAAGGTAATCTGCTGTCAATTTATACATGAAGCTTTTATTATGTCTTAAGTGGGATATATTCATGTGAAATAAGAAGTATAGAAACATGACTTTGGAATAGTGTATGGAAGCCACTAATGAAATTATATGGTCTATGATTAAAAAAAAGAAAAAAAAAAAAAAGACTGCCACTTTCTTTATTTCAGTAATTCCCTGTAGGCACAACTTGGCATTCATAGCTTTTCTGTGAAAATGTTTAAAAAATCTCAGAAATTATGAGATATCATGGATGCTGAAATTAACTATGTTTTCATCATAGTTTCACATCTTTCAAAACAGCAGTTGTGTGTGTGGCATCCTTTCTCTATATCAATGCATCTGAAATGGACTGTATAATAAATTAAGAATTACTAAGAAGTATCAAACATAAGTATCTTAGAACAAGAGACTAATCTACCAACCTCTTTTCTGTGAAATTGTTCTGTTTTATGATATATTCTCTATCTATACTCAGTGCTTTTTCATATCTGCTGTTACTTGATCTAGATCCTGAGGTTCTATAATCTGGAATCTTGGTTTTCTGCTTTTAGAAGTGGCTTGAGGAGAACTATGTTCACATTTTGATGTCATAATTACACATTCTTGACAGTGTTTCTCTACAAGAGTATTTAGGGTTTTTTTCTCATCACAGCAGAATGACAAATAGTAGTACATGAATTAAAGCAAATGAGATCATGAAAAAAACTGGCACACACAGAACATACACAGGAGACAAAATGTACACAGTGGATGTACTTATTCCACAAAAATACAGATTTATTAGGACTGGTATGCACTCCATTAAGGGTTCCCACAGTCAAAGTAGAAACTTTGTTTCCTCTCCATTAGCGCCAGATGATAATGAAAGCTTTTCTTCTGCAAAGTTGTTTCCCTGTTACAGACCAAGAGTATGTGAGTCAAGAATCATTGTCTTTGTACAGGCACTGACTGTAGCAGTGAGTAAATACGTAAAAACTTGTAATTTTGGCATAATCCTTCAATAAGAGGTCTATTGATAAAAATGTAATTTTATCAGGCTTGTGAACATTCATCATGCACAACCTCTCTTTCACTTTTTATTTCCTTTTCTGTCTTTCCTCTTATCTTCTTTTTCCAAATTGTCATCTTCATATTTTTCTTTTTCTGGTTTTGTTACACTATCATAAGAAGGCGGAGATGTGGAAGATGCAGACATATCCATTTTCTCTGGAGGTGAGTTTTCACTCAGTTTACCAATAATCCTACCTTCTTTGATAAGCAGATCACCCCCATCTTTCCGATACATAAACAAAAGTTTTTTTACTGAATGTCTTAATAAATAACGTCTGTAAGCACGCTGAATGATAGTAGCGGATACTTCCTCCTGTTTTCGCTTTAATGTAGTTGTAATTGGTTCATAAGAGACTTTAGAAGGATTGGCTGCCATAAACCGATCTTCCATCTGTATTCTGAGGGCATCCATCTCATCACTTTCCCCCAAAACACGCTTTGTGAAAGCAAACAAGATGTCAAGGCAGTGAATTCTGTCACCACTTACCATAGGCAGATCCATTGCAATAAGTTGAATTGTGTTTGGTTTTGGTATATTAAGAGGAGGATCCAGAGAAGCTGCAAAATCAGATAATTTCTCATATTCTATGAATTGCGTTGCATCTGGATCGTACTTTTCCCAGACTTCATAGAACATCTCAAAGTCATCCTCGCTCAAGGGTTCAGCGCTTTCTTCAGTAGCAACACCAAAGTTCTCCAAAATCACAGCAATGTACATGTTCACCACTACCAGAAATGATATGATAATGTAGCTGACAAAGAAGAAAATCCCTACAGAAGGGTTGCCGCAGTCACCTTTAACGGAGCTCCCTGGATGAGCTTTGTTAGGGTCACAATCTGGCTCCCCACTGTTGAGAATTGGGGCTAGCAAACCATCCCAGCCTGCAGATGTGGTAATTTGAAACAGGCAGATCATGCTGTTGCCAAACGTCTCAAAGTTGAACATATCATCTATACCAGCTTCCCTCTTAACATAGGCAAAGTTGGACATGCCAAATATTGCGTAGATAAACATGACCAGGAACAGCAGCAGACCAATGTTGAACAAAGCAGGAAGAGACATCATCAAAGCAAAAAGGAGAGTGCGGATTCCCTTAGCGCCTTTAATGAGACGCAGGATTCGGCCAATTCTGGCAAGTCGGACGACTCTGAACAAAGTGGGGGACACAAAGTACTCTTCAATCACCTTAGCTAGAAACATACCTGTGAAACATAAAAATAGAATCATAACGGTAACATTTTATCACAGATTACATCTTCCACAACAAAGTATGAATAAAGAACAACGCTACCTGTGGAACTGGTGGAAATTATAACTGGAGATAAATTTTATCTGTTATGGGTAATTTCAGCTTACTTTCCAGCACTCATAGAAAAAATAAAAGGAGTATTATAATTATATAGAATTATTAAGAAAGTTATTATTCTAAAGTATGCTTTCAGTTTCTTAAATAATCAGGAGAAATTAAGTATTTAATCTGCAAAATTTGACAGAGATAAAGCATTAAATACATCTTACTACATTTCATTTGGAAAATAAGAATTTCTTACCCACTATTGAAAGAATAACAACAACAAAATCAAAAATATTCCAGCCAATGGTGAAGTAATAATAACGGAGCGAGAACAGTTTGAAGACACATTCTCCAGTGAAGAGGACAACAAAGACCAAGTTAATCCAGTATAAAATATTTTGCATCAGTTCACCCTGGTCATCTGTTTCTATCATCATGGTGACCATGTTAAGACAGATGAGAACCATAATGCTGATGTCAAATGCTTGCTTTGTTACAATATCAAACACCAGACCTTGCAATTTGTTCTGAGGGGAGAAAAAAGAAAAGGTGCTAGTGTCTTGTATGCAATGAGCATCCTTTTCCTCCCTCCCATTTCCTTCTTCCTCCCCCAAAATATACAACTAAACAGAAGAATGAAAACTCTAAGAAAAACACTATGCAGTAACTGGTTTATTTGCCAGCTCTAAGTTTTCCCCTCAAAACCCAACAGGCTTTTATTTCTTCATATTATTTGATTCTCTGCTTCCTGAGGCATTACAAATATGTTGAGATTTTTTTCTGCAGAATAGAAATATATACATGATTTAATTCAGGATGTAGACCTAACTTGAGTTAGGCCTCAATAATTTTATAGTTAAGGAAAAAATATGGTGACAATTAATGTACTGCTGCTATTGTAGATGATACAAGAATAGCACATATTCTTACCGCTGGTCTAGGTATAGGCTTCTGTGGTTTCTTGGATCCCAGCTTCTTCATTGCATTGTAGTATTTCTTTTGTTCTTCTGTCATGAAAATGTCTTGACCTCCAAGGTAAAATAATAAAAACAGAAGTAATTACAGACAAGCCTTTAAATCCATTAATTTGCAGCATTGTAAAACATGGGTTCTGTGAACCATGTATTCATTTTTATAGACTGTTGCTGAACAAAAAATACAGCGATTATATCAAAGACTGCTAAAATATCTGACAAGTCTTGGTGAAAAAATAAAATCAAGGAACAGAGAAAAACCCCAGAATTTCTACCTATTTGCTAAAAAAAACCCAAACAAAACCAACAAAAACACCCCCCCAAAAAAAAACCTTCACTAAACCAAACCTGAATAATTCAATTTAGTATGCACAAAAACTCTTGTAAAAATATACATTCCATAGATGCTTACAAATCTATCATAATCAACTCCACACTGTAAATCAATAACCAGAAATAAAAAAGCTTCAAGGGTAGATTCACCTAGAGCCGATATGCCTTCAGGGAAACCATAAGAGGAAAAAAAAATTACTGATGTTACATTTCAGGATGCACATTTTATCACTTGAGTACAGGTATCACAGTTGAGATGGTTTCTTGCCACAGTAATACTTCCACAGAGCATAATGAGGCTTAATCGCCCCTCTACATTGTATAGAGGTCATGAGAGGCATGAACTTACTCTGGGGTTTCTTGTCTGAATAATACGATAGCAGTCTGAGTAAAAAGTGTATCTAGATTGGTAGGTGTACTGCACATATGGAAACACTTGTCAGAAACACAATTTATGTTGACAAGCAACATTTTTTTTTCTTTCATGCATTTGCTTGCAAGTACATTTTAGGTATGTATGATGTCAAAACAGTGCCATTTGGAAACAAATTTTAGTGTCACAAGTGATTCTGTGACTTCATCAACTGCAGGGTCATTCTTATTGAGAAACTAGTGGTGAATCTGGATGAAGATGTGTTTGTGTCTTTCAGCTGTGGACACATACAGACGTGAAGATTCAGAAGTCAAGAGACCTCGTTTAGCATGCTCTCCTCATAAGCCCAATATTCAAGTAGAATTAAGGTCTTAGAGAGAAAGGGTTTGGGAAGAAAACCAGAAATTAATTTGCTGATTATGGTGGAAATGTGATATGACTGTAAGAAGATTTTATAAAAAAAGAAAAAAAGCTAAAAAGGAACTGACATTGAACTAGGGATTGCTGCTGCTTCAATGATGTAATGGTTATCAAGAAGGAACAAGCTGTCATTGTCTCAGTGTGCTGTCCATAGGGAGAGTAGCAGCCTCAAGATAAGGTGCACCTTATATGTTTTTGAGGAATGTAATGGTAGGAATTTGACAGCTAGTGGAATTTTTCCCCCCATGGGAAAAAATGTAATGAAAGTAGGATGCACAAAGGGACAAAGAAATGCACATAGTATGTAACTTCAGTTTTCTTCTCCAAGGGTAAGAAATTGAATAACCTTCATCTTAAGTACTGGACGCCCCTGATGTTTACTCCAAGGGAGGTGCAAACATCTTGGAGGATGAAGACGTCATCAGGTTTGGAACCCCAAACTCATCCTTCCTTTTATGTGGGTCTGCAGATAAGAGAACTCAAAGAACCTGAGGCAGCAGCATATGAAGCTGCATACTCCATTCTCAAGTTAAAAGATTTACTGAAAGTTTCCCCTGCAGTAAGTCTAGCAGCATTTTTTTTTTTTTTCAGGACAATAAATCAAACTTGACAAACCATCTAGAATCGCAAATGAAGAAATTATGTACTGCCTTGCTATTACTTAGGTCACTTATTAAAAAAAAATAAAAATCCATATTCCAAAATGATTCTACTCCAAATGCATACAGAAATACAAGAACACTGTAGACCTTAGACAGCATGTATAGTTTAAATAGCAAGTAGATTTTAATTTGTCATCATAGTCTGCATTTTAATCTCTTTAAACACTCTTGGAGGTCTTGACACAATCCTGTGTTCACATGAAAACAGAAACAATTTCAGCTGAAAAGAAAAACTACACATTTTCAAACGTCAACAATTTTCTTTCTCTTGCAAATTCACTAACTTGAGATAGTTTCACAACCTCCTCTAACCTTACGATACAGAGCAGTAATTCCAGCATTTAGCTTGTCTGTATTAGTCTTTTTGTAATTGAGAAGTCCTTCACAGTATTTCTATACATTTACTGTTTGCCAGTTTTGATATTAGTAGTTCTACATATTCTCTTCTTCCCTATCATCTATTTGCTTGAATTAGGTCATCTGCATTTTCACATAGCTTTGTTACAGCACGTAAGGGTAAGCAAAAAACAATATATAACTTTCTGATGCACAACACATCATTGGGCTGTAGAGAGATGTGAAAAACAGACACTCAGCGTAAGCTTAAATTACTTCAAATATCTTAAAAAACACAGACTATTATTTCATTATTTTGAATAGAATAAAAGGAAATCTTAATAGCCATTTTTTTTTCCTATTACTATGAGAAATTTAAAGACACGTATTCATTCTTGCATACGTTTGCTGAATGCTCAATAACAATGAAGTGTTTTGAAAATTAAACAAGTGATACTTATCTTCTTTTTCTGTTGGTTGAAGTTATCTATGATGACGCCAATGAATAGGTTTAGGGTGAAAAACGATCCAAAGATGATAAAGGCAACAAAGTAAATATACATATACAGGTTATCCTCATACTTGGGCTGCTTTTCTATCTGTGTAACATAGAAAAACAGCAATATATAACAAAAAATATTTAAGACAAATTACAGAATACGAAGCAGGAACAGAAATTGCATACAACAAGACAGCAACTTCTACACGTGCCTTATCTTTGAACTTGAAAAATCTATTTAATACAGGTGTCCATAATTCCATACACAGACCTGCCACTCCTTCCTTTTCTGTCTGCCAGTTCCTCTCTAATGACGTTTGATGTTTCATGTAATTCTTGCTAAATTTGACAGACGTGTGCAAATCTGAAAGCAGTTCAGCCCCTATGGAATCTACACAAATCAGGAGCTGGCTAGAGGAGAGATGCAAACAATACCAGCACTAAAAGAAAAACATGCAAAATTCAGCCATTTTATTTTTTGAGATCTCCAGAGTCTGCAATTTTGGATTAGCTGTTGTAGGTGAGGTCACTTGATGATTTGGGTTATTTCTGGAGACACAGAAAAAACTTGTTTCCTAATCTGTGCGATCCCAGTGACATTAATTGGAAGCCATATATGACTTATTAAATTAATAATACTTTGTGTAAATCTACTATTTTTTTACCTTTTAAAGTATATGCATTTTAACTATAGTGCATAGACTTATATATATAGAGAAAATTTATCAAGCTTGTAGATTTTTTCCTCTATATTTTACTTTATTCCTTTTGCCATATGATTCAGTTACATTCATTACATCAATCTTATCTTTGTTTTCACTCTGTAAAGTTTATATTGCACTCACTTCTCTAGAATCAACCGCAGCATACATGATATCCATCCATCCTTTAAACGTTGCCTAAAAACAAAGTTTGTTAATATTTTCTATTAAACCTCTAATTTTTTTAAACATTCTATAAAACTCTGTCTTCTGCAATGCATTTACATCCACAAAAATAAAGAGTATTAAAAATCCGTTAAGACATGAGTGAAGTATTCACACAAAGCAATTTGCGGTGGAATATGTCTTCTTAATTCTTAAATACTGAATAAATCCTAATATTCATGCAAATTCATATAAACTCGGTGTGGATGAGTTGCAATCAATATCTGAGCATAACAGAGACTGCAATTTAAAACAAGGTCCACAGCTCTAATGTTCTGACTACCAAAAGAGGAGAGCTTAAAAAATCAGCCACAATAGGTTGGCATTTTTCAGACAGAATATGCAAATAGTCCTGAAAGAAACTCCAGAAGATAAGTAGTCCCAATAGATCTTAAGAAAATAATACAGTCATAGAATGGTTTGCCTTGGGAGGAACCTTTGCAGATTATCTGCCTTTACATCCCACACTTCTAATGATGAGGCATTCAAAACTTCTCTGGGTAACCTGTTTCAGTGTCTCACCAACTTATCATTTAAAAAAAAATTCTTCCTTAAATCAAATCAAATCAAATCAAATCTAAGTCTACCCTCTTTCAATATAAAACTGTTTTCCCCTTCCTGGCACTACAGGCCTTGGGAAAATTTTTCTTTCTTATAAGCCCTCTTAATATATTGAACAGCCACAATAACGTCCCCCTGAAACTTCCTCTTCTCCAAGATGAACAAACCCAACTCTCTCAGGCTTTCTTCATAGCAGAGGCACTCCAGCCCCCTCATTTTTTTCATGGCCCTCCTCCAGCCTGTCCACATATTTTTTGTATACTGGGGACCAAAAACTGAACACAGTATTCCAGGTGTGGCCTGATGAGTGCAGAGTAAAGTGGGACAATGACATCTTTATCTCTGCTGGTTATGCCTTTGATGTAACCCAGCATCCTGTTGGCTTTCTTTGCCATAGCAGCACACTGTTCACTCCTATTGAGCTTGCTGTTCGTCAGGACTCCCAGGTCCCTTTCCACAGAGCTGGTCACCAGTCAAGTATATTCCAGCCTGTGTTGCACACTTGGATTGTATTTGAGCACAAATATTTTCAAAGAAGCAGCTTGTCAAGCAAACACAATTAGGAATACATGTTTCTGTCCTATTGGTTCCAATTTACAGATGCTGTCTCTAAAGAAGATTTGTACTTGGAAATCTAGCACTAGTAAATTCTGCAATTGCTCATCTAGAGTTTAAAAACAAGCTAAAAGTTATCTCCAATAAACCCACTTGACATCAGTACACAATGACTGGAGTGGGACTAGTAAGGATAACAAAAAGAGAAAGAAGAGAAAGGAAAAAATAAATTTAAAACCTTTTTCTAAATTATTAGTTCCCTTGTTCTGTAAGTTCTCCTCTTGTCTGAAGATCAGATGAGCCCTAGAATGTACCTGTGTCAACATGCCTTAACAGATCAAACAAAAGAACATTAATCCTAGATTTTTTATTATTTTTTTTTTTTTTAATTAGATACTGTATTTCTGTAGAACTTGCACAGGTACTAGTGGCCAGGTGCCAAGGAACTTTATATCCACCTGGTACATATCAGGTATTCTTCTTCCAGAATGCATCAGATTTTTACTCTAAGAAATCTTACTTTGGTTCACAGAACACAATTATAAAAGCAAATCCCATATTCATTCACACGTTTTAAGGTAACACAGAAAATTATGGAATGAAATGTTGCTGCTACAAAACTCAAATCTGGAAATTTAATTTATAAAAACTTATACACTTACTACTTGAAGCAGAGAAAGATAACCAGCTCCAACATTATCAAAGTTTACTTTCACATTTTTCCACCGAACATCCTCATGGGTGAGCATAAGATCTTCACACACACTTTTATTACTGACTTGCTCTGGAGGGAACATCACACCAGTTGTGGTGTTTACACAGTGATAGAACTTTCCAGCAAACAAATTTACTCCCATGATGCTGAAAATTAGCCAGAATGTAAGACAAACCAAAAGTACATTCATAATGGATGGGATTGCTCCAGTAAGAGCATTCACAACCACCTAGTAAATAAACACAGAGAAAAAAATAGTTAAACAGTAGTTAGACTAGTAAAAACTTTTTTTTTCAAATATAGCAAAATATCTAATGTAGAACATTAAAGTACATTGAAGTAATGCAAATAGAAAAGGAACAGCACATGTAATACAACCAAACATGTTACCGTTGGCCTTGAAAACAGACATGCAGTTCAGTGCTCCTCCAAGATTTTATAATTAGGCATAGTTTTATGTTTTACACACTCTTTCTTTTTTCTTACCCTCATGCCTTCAAAGCGCGACAAAGCTCTTAGAGGTCTCAAAGCTCTCAATGTTCGGAGGGATTTAATAGCGCTGAGATCTGACAAACCCAGAGCATGAGCCACTAAGCTAACCAAGGAGACCTAGAAGAAACAAAACAAAAGATTATATTCTTTTTTTTTAATAGACTCACAACACAAAAGTAATGCCTTGAGGAAGAAGCTTCTGATCTGGATATCAGCAAAAAATTTCATAAGGACCCTGAGCTCCTAGCAAGAACAAGATAAAAAAAGAAGTTAATTTCAGACCTGTTTAAACAAAGCAAGACCTTAATCTCTGGAATTTTTATCATAGAGTGCTAGTTAGAAAAATGATTATCATACCTCTACAAAATGAATGGCGATTTGAATAAAAAGCATTTTAGTAGAGGATCATGCTGTTCAACTCAGCCAAAGCCTGAAATGTACTGAAAACATAATCCCATTCTATATGACATGTTACAATGCTAACCAGTGCTCTACTACAGATGCATTATGTTAGTCATGATACAATGTGAGTCAGTAACATTTGCTTCTACTAATTCGCACTTAGAATAGTTCACATAAAACCAGAGATATGAATAACTAGTAATTTATGCTGCCTGCAGATGACAACAGGCTTCACAGCGGTATATACTCAGTCAGACACAACTGACAGGTGTGACTTCTAACTGTACCACAGACACAGACATACTCAATGATTGGGACCCAGGGCAGTAAAACTCTGAACAGAATCAATGATAGCATACATAAATACAAAGGCAGATTTAGCTATTCACTGAATAATTGTGACATTGGAATCTTTTCTGTTCTTTTAAACCCTACTTATACTCCCTTGGTATATATATGTATCAGACTGGAGTTACATTAAAAGGACCTGCCTAAATGACAGAAATACACTACATAGAAAGTATAGTACCTACATCAACAATCAGGAAGTCCAACCAGCACCAAGCATTAGTGAAATAGGTTTGAAAACCATAGGCCACCCATTTTAGCACCATTTCAAGAATAAAGATGTAAGTGAAGATTTTATCAGCATATTCCAGCATGGTTTTTACAGTCTTGTGCTGTTCAATATATATATCTTCAAAAGCCTGTGAAGAATGGGATACATGTAAATCAGATATTCATAGGTCTTTGCAAACTACAAATTAAGCCAAAAGAACTGAATTAGAACCAGCAAGGTAAAATCACTTTCAACTTTAGACATTTTACCTTAAAAAGAGCAGAGATTACAATTGGATTCTTTCTGAATTTTAGATTTCATCACTGCCTGATAATGGAATTACAATATAATGACTGAAGTTGCAAAAAATGTTTTTAGAAATTTCAGCAGTACTCAAAGCAGAATTACAATGTAGTACCGTGAAAAGCCACTCAGGCTATTAAATAAACTGATATTTACTAACAAAAGAGAATCATGAACTACAGTGACCAAATATTATGCTGCTGCTGCTGTTTACTGAATTCCAGTATTTGGTGTTGATGGCAAGGTTTTAGCAGCAGAAGGCTGTGAGCAGAGGCCATGGGCTGCCCTGTGCAAGCTCCACAATGAATCCACCACAGGAAGTAGCTGGGCCCACCAGTGAAGCTGGTGGTGCCTCTGCTAAAACATACCTAAAGAGAGGGCAAAACATCTCATGGCAGTATGAGGACTGAAGACAAAAAAGTGAGAGAAACCATCCTGCAAAATTCAAGGTCAAAGAAGAAGAAAGGGACATGATGCTTCAGGTGCCAGAGCAGAGATAATGACAGCATATTCCAAATCCTACGTCAACCAGATCCCAATACTCAGTAGCTGTGTGAAGGACTAATTGTCTCTAACAGTACCAAGGAATTCAAGAATTCCTATATACCCGTCCAGAAAAACTAAAGCAAAAAATTAACTGAACACAATGAATTAACTATCTGTACTGCTTTTGAGACAATTTTAGAGTACTAGTTCTAGTTATTGCATAAAACATATTTTGTAGGACTTTTGTAATTTCTTCAACAAGATTTTTAGTGTAACCATTTTAGTAAGTACCCTCACACACAAGTATCACCTTGTATTAATCAAAAATTCACACATAGAACACTATTTGACAGCAGAATTGTAATGACTTATTTTATATACACTACCAAAAATATTCTGGGAATTTAGTTTGAAGCTCTCTTTCAAGACTTTTTTTCCCCTGTTAATAAACACAGATGTTTTATAACACTATGTGACAAAAAATATTTTATAGGTACTATTTCTATGGGTGTAAGCTCCACTTACCAGAGCACCACTGCTGAGAAGAATCATGAAGACAATGAATGTTTCAAACCAGTTATGTTCTACTATCTTGTAGCAGGTTTTTCGAAGGTTCCACCAGATTCTCCCTGTTGTGCTTTCCATACTGCCTTTGCAGCATTTAAATTTCCGTATACAGCCTAATAATACAATGACAAATTGTTATACTGTAGAATTCTCATTGTCCTGTAAAAGCAAAATCACTCTTAACTAGCTCCTGTTTCATGCTGTTCAAATTACTTCATTTTACACTTCAAATTACTGCAGGCTAATTAAAGCATCCTCACCGGCTCAATTTGGTACTTTGGATGAAGGAAAATGTGCATGTATACTTGCATGTACACAACTTTTCTACTACCCTGACACTGCATCAAGCTTAGAAAAAAAAAAACCTAAACAACCAAAACCAACCCAAATATCTAATTATCTAATTGAGCTAAATTTCATTTATAGGCATATTTTTTTATAATTTATATCTCATTTATATACAGAAAATCAAAGAATACATGACTATTGTCAGGGAGTAGAAACAAAAAGCATAAACACATAGCAACTTGCACATACACTTGTTCAAGAGTCCAGCTTCTTTTAAAGGTACTTCTGTCTCTCACCAATTTCAAATAAATCTCACAGATGTAAACATCCTTTATTATAAAGGAATGACCTCTGCTTCAAGGACTGACTAAGGATACATCTTTCATGACATAAAGAACTAATTTAACTGTGAAATGGTGAGAGCTTTTCTATGTGGCACAGATTTGCAGCAACCATCCACAGAATTCTGCCTCACCTTGGAGAACTCCTTTATCATGGGGCCTCTGGGTACAGCTTTCAGTGAACCTCAGTATCTTCCTGGCTAATAGTAGTCTTATTTCTTTAAAAAATACTAATCACATAGAAACATAATGAAGTTTAAATTATTTTAATGGGTCCCAAAGGCAGTATTCTAGTTTCCTCTGAGTGTCATTAAGTTCATGTTACAAGTAAGTTATTCTGTATTTCATCAGCTCAGCTAAAATAGGAATCACTGTGAAAAGCATGATTTACCTTACCTTCAACTACTCAAAATGTCTATGTTATGGGAAAATTAATGTTATACCCAAAGACTGATAGTCACATAAGGAAGAACTGTAATGTGAAATTACACAAGAAGTGATTAAAAAAAGTACAAGAGTCCATGTTCCAAAACATTTTTTTTTTAAACATGAGTGAAATAATATTTCAAATGACAAGAGTCAAACAGCCTAAGTCAAAGGTGTCTTTGTAACAGTAAATCTAAAAGCATGGATAGGATAAGAAATATAGCCCTGAAACATTTTGTTCTGAATTATTCTAATCATGACTTAAAAGTAAAGTAAAACCCACAAGATCACAAAAATGGGAAATACATTCCTATACAGTATCAGTAGTCCCCTAAAGGATATAGCTACACAGAACTAAAGAAATCGAAACTTCTAAGAACATGCAAAAGCATGCTGTTAAGACTTCTGTATTTGAATAAAAACACAGGATTTCATGCTATGTTTTTACTTTACATTATACTCATGCACATCCTCCTCACATTAATGGTGTAATGTCAAGATATTAATTAATTTGTTTGAGTCAAACTTTCAAAGATCTGAATCATCCACTGGATTGCTTTCTAGCACTGTGAATGGACCACAGGTAATCACATGATTCTGGCTTAAATTTCACAGTGTAGTGAACCTGGTGTAGGATTTGGTCTTGCAAATTTCACTACTGACGACGTCATTTAAATCCACAGGATTACTAATTGCTAAGAAAAATTGTGCCGAGTGTTTGTTTTAAAATATTATGAATGATCACATCCACATATATTTAATTTTTTATCACACAAAGGGTTCAATGGTCTTCAGTACAACTATCTACAACAGGCAAAACTAATCACACCATAACACTTGGCAATCTAGGATCCTGGACTGCTGCAGCAAATAGCTTCCTTGAACTGCCAATGCTTGTTACAAAAAACCAAAACGTGGTGGCAAACCCCAAATTTTATTTCCACATCTTCTGTAAAACATACCTTCTGTAAAGCATGCCTGTACCTCTGATGCTTTTTCTGGTTCAGTTTCAGCTTTTTCTTCTCCAAAGAGAGCTAAATTAACTGTACTTCCTTCAGATGAGCTGGAAAAATTTAGCTTCTGAAAATAAAATTTGGTAACAATTATACTTTACTAATATTTACATTTTTAGAATGGTAATTAAGTTAAAGCATGCAACAGTGTGCACAAAATAATCATCATATTTCTCACCAAAAATACACACAAACATCCACATGTAGCAGTTAATGCTGTTGAAATGTGCATAAATCATCCACTTTCTATCTAGAGATTGCAAGGCAATTCATGCAATCTTTCATGGAATTCCAGAATTTCTGGTCTAAAAATAGTACAGTCTTATTCAAAATTTATTACTACCGAGTAGACTTTCTGATACATATTCTACTCATTTTCCTTTCTACTATTATTGTCTTACTATAAATTCTCTTCCTACATTTTAAAACAATATCAATTATACTGTATGCGTTAAGATAATGTGTGTTGGTAGCTATTTTCATTGGCGCAGTCTCCTCAACCTCAAGACAGTAAATCCTGACATCAAAACACTTTAAATTGTGAATTATCATGGTTAATTGTCCAATGGAGAAAATGTAGCAGATTTTTAAGGGCTGACTTTATTTCAGTGGCCAATATTCACAATACAGAAGAAAGGAAATTAATTATCAGTTATTTTTCACTGGCATCTTCAAAACCAATATGATGCAAGTTCATAATTTCTAGCATACATGAGGATTTATGATAAGATTTGGTTTCCTCTGATACACATAATTTACTTAGCTTTCATTTTAAGAACATTCTTATGATCTAGATTGGAAAATACTAAAGTAAAATCAGGATTAATATGAAATTTTCTTTCAGATGTGAATTTGAACATTACCCTCAACAAATTATTAAAAGAAATTAAGTCTGGACTATCTTAAACCATAATTGTCACTACCACACAAATACCTTTTTTTTTTTTTCATACACACTGATAAGTTTGGAGGTTTTTTTTCAGGAAAAAGTATGATAAATACATTTCAACTAGCATTTGCATTCTTCTTTGCCAATGCACATATGTATGACATTGTGCATTCTGAAACTACTCATTACTTTGGTACACATACGTGTTAATAGTCAGAAGAGAGGATGTGTTCTGTTGTAATTATTAAAATTACACATAACAATAGTACAAAATATATTAGTAATAGAAGAATAAGCCTTAATTTATTTTATATTTTGTAATCTCCATGTGTATTGCAAAAGTCCATAGTCTGGAGATTTTAAAGGAAAATACAGTGTCCTGTATATTTAAGTTGAGTATATGTACCAAACTAAATCAAAGTAGTTTTGGTCACAGCATTCTCTGACATTTTATGATGTTTTATCAAGTATATAACATCAGTAATGAACTCACACAACTAAATGTCTGTAGGGAATGATGTAAGCGCACTTTCTAAAACAGCCTCGGTTTTGTAGAATTAACACCATTTTCATTAGTTTAGCTAGACTTGCATGATTAAGAGACATGTTACAGACAAGTTACAGAATTTCTAACCAAGCTATATTTACACCTCAACTCCAAAATGAGAAAGGACAAAATTATTTCAGGGAAAAAAAAAAAGTTTAATATCTATGTTTGTTAAAGAAGACAGAGACAATTTAATAAGAAAAAGCAATCCAGTGCTCCACATTAACTTTTCTTAAAAGGATTCAGTAATATTGCCTACTTAGCTGCTACTTTAGAAACTGATTATCTGGAATAGTTAGACATATTTAATATAAACAATTTCCATTTTTAGTACCATTAATTTTTAAATATCAATATTTACAGCAAACATTTTCCTATTACTGATTCTACTTAACCTGAGGATAGCAGCATATACCTCCCCTATTTCATTAATATGCTGCTTTCATCTGAAGTTTTTTGTCATATCGCTAATAAAAATGAAAACCAACATGAAGTACTCTGGGTCATTTGAACTGAACATAAGCTACTTAGCACACTGAGCAGATGACGTGATTTCAACAGAATTTTATGAATTAACAACATTAAAAGATGAACAATGATAAATGGAAAAGAAATGGAAAAGAATCAATGTGTCTAGAACATGAAGTTATATATCTCATTTAATACTTGACTTTTGCAAATCAGCAACTAAACCATTTTTGTTAAGAGAAAGTTCCCTGACTATAATGTTATTTTTCTTTCTCAGTGTTAGCACTGAAAAGCTATTTGGATTTTGAAAACACTATTTTTATCAATACAAATCTCTACTGTGCTGTTACAAGGTCAGATTTGGAGCTCATGATCTTTCCTTTTTTTTCCTGAAGGAGTCAAAGTACACTGGCACAATTACTTGCAAGAACAATGTCACTACCTCGAACCGTCCCACTGAAGCCACTAACAATTCCTTAAGGTAATTAGTAAAAAGTAAATTTTTAGTGAACATCATCCTAAAAGTAATAAATGAAACTACAGGAAATTGCAGATAAAGAATTTAAGAAAACCTCCACAATAAGAGCTAAAAATAAGTAGGCCTGAGTATTCACATGATACAATCTACTGTAAATTTAACTTACAAGTCATTCAAATGTTGATATCCAAAGAATAAAGAAAAATCTGGTATGTTTCCCAGCCTCCAAAGCAAAGAACAAAAGTACAAGCAATAGAACTGTTAATATAAGGAATAAAAGCGAAACATTGTCTCAGGTAATTTAAAAGAGAAACAAACAAAAAACCCTAAACAAGCCCAAAGACTGCTGCATATTCTCATCTTCTCATTTACTAAGAATATCTATCTCTCTCTCATTTTCTGTAGACCAAGTTTTTTTTTTTGATGGAGAAGAAGGTAAAGAACTGTACCAAACTGTGAAAGACGATTGTTGATAACAGCACTTTGGAGAGTATGTTCAGAAACCTCTTAGAAAAGAGGATCCGGAAGTATTTCTACTTAGAAATGTAATAGAAATCATTAGAAGACCTGTGTTAGAGTGCTTATAGGTCATAAATTAATATTTTCCTGCTTAATCAAATCTATTTTCAGCAAGGAATACTTTTTCAATAAAAAAGTATTGTCCTTAGAAAATACTTAGGTGTTTTTTTACCAAACTAAACCCAAAACCTACCTTACCTATGTAACTTAGAAAAAAATGTCATGCATATATATATTAGAAAAAAAAAACAAAAAAGCATCAAATTACTGTGCAGGGAAGGTTACAGTAAAACAATGCAATATACAAATAAAAGAGATTCAATTTTTTATCACTCAAGTCGTTACAAGCTCCTGGTTTACTAGCTTGCATGCTGTTCTGTAGTTGTCGGATTCGTGGCAGCAGAAGCTTGAAGCAGGAGCATAAACAATATCCATGAAATCTGAATCATCCCCCCATACCTGTCATACCTAGCCCTAGTAGGATGGCATACTACCACATTCTACCCTCTCCTATTTAAATGCCTTCTCTAAAATGGTTTGCAAAAATCCCCAAAAAGATATTTTTCCATTCCATCCTTCTGAATAGCTTACAGTCCCCATGAGCACAAAAGTGAGACCTGAAACATTTCCGATATATAATGTGTGCAAAAGAAAAATAATGCAGGATTCACAACAAAACCACGCGACAAAATATGTATTTGGAAAAAGAATACCTCACTAACCCCCAAGTGGCAAGGAGCAGAACTGCCAAACTGTTCAGAAAAGATCATCAGGAATAAAAAACACATAGTTTCACTCAATTATGGTTTGTGTTACAGTTCTGGAGTTCCTGCATTTAGAGGTTTGGGAAGATACTATTTCTTATTGTATCTTTTTAACAATTGTGTTAATTTTAACCTTATCCTCTATTTTCCTATTTTTTATATTTCCTTCTTGCTTGAACTTCCTTATTTATATTATTTTAAATCACCAAGGTTTACTTAGACACCTACATAGAATCCTACATACATGTTTTACATCTGTCTTCTAAAAATAAAACAAATGGATTGGGTTCACAAATAAGCAATTATTGATGATGAAGAGCAAAATTGGTACAAATGATTCCCTAACTTTCAATCTTACAGACATGAATAATACTCATGAGTAGAATTCAACTAAACTATTACATCCATATTCAAAAGAACTATGTGTATGTACAGAAAAAGATATGTTTGATTGTTCCCAAAAATGTATCTTTCATCCTGAATTGTAGTTTCTCTTATATGAGAAAACTGGAATGTAAATTACAAAAAAAATGTGAACTAACATTAAACAATTTATATCAAAAGAAATAAACATTTTAGCACACAAGTAATTCTATATATGCAATACTGCAAAGGCAGTGGTCAAATGAACATGATCAGAAAATGTTCATAATTACATGACAGCTGAAAACATGGTTCAACAGATGAACAGGAACAGCAAAGTGAAGATTACCTTTCTATTTTCATAAAATTATAGGCTGGTAACTTCTTTTAAACTTGGAACAGTCTTGAGGCTTAATATTTCAGTTAACATTAATAGAAACCTACAAAGCATGCAGGTTATGCCACAGAAGTAGTACAAAAAATACCAAAGATGTAACAAGGAGAGAGGAATATGTTTGCGTTGCCCTCAACCATGCTGTGATGTGAGTCATGGGACTCGGCTTGCAAAGTGGTTGCGCATGTTTCCGCTACATTGCAATGGATGAGAAAAATATATCGTAGCTGAGTAGCATGCAGGCCAATCAATCTCAAAAGTGATCATATATGTATGATTTGTGTAGGAACCTGTGTTAACATGCTGACACGTTGCTCTGCCTGGTTAAAAAGCACCAGATCTGCATTCTTGACTGATCCAGCTTGATTTTACTCCTGTGAGAAGTAAGAATGGTACGCAATGAAGTTAAAACATGGTACCCTTTAGGACGTCTGAGCTCTGGAAACAGAAGTATGGATTCCTGTTTACTTAAAAATGTGTTTTCTAGACATGTCACACATTTGCAAAACATAACATTTATAGTTGTTGATTAGTGCTTTAGCCATATCCAAAGACCTACTGAAAGAGGTAAAGTCAGCAGAATATCTGAAGGTCATAGACATATATTGGACTTGGGCCTGAATGTAAGAAAAAAAAAAACAAACAACAAAACCAAACCAAATCCAAACCACAACTAAAAAAAAGCAAACTAACCAACCAAAAAACCCACCACAATCCCAAAACAAACCCACACTATGTATATTAAAGCTTTACGCATTCCCTAAGAAGTAGTAATTAGACCTTTAAAATAACTAGTTGCTAAATATGCATCTAGGATACACTTTCAGAAAGAAGCCACATGCAAAACAAAACAAAAAAAATCAATCATACCACGTCAAGTATGAAAACTTCCAGGTAAGCAATTTTTCCCAGCTTTGTTAGCTCTTTTAACTGCATGACTTAAAAAAGTTCAAGGTGTATTACGGATTGTAACAGATACAAAGTAATGTAAAAGTGAAAACCCATGCCTAGCAATAAACCTGTCATTTCTGCAAGTACCTCACATACATCTTTTATTAGTCTTCTGGTAGTCTTCTCAAAGGCTCATCAAATAATATAGCTATTTAACAACTCCTGTATAAGCTGCTCCAATCTAAAAGGAAAGTCTGGAATAATCTACAAAATTAAAGTCAATTTCCTTACTGACTATGAACTAGTATACATGAAATAGTTTTTTTGGTTGTTCAATTACGTATCTCCTATGGTTGTCTTTCAAATACGCCATTCCATAGCCGCTTTTCCAAACTGAGGTAGGTTAAATTTAATACTAGATAATAGCATCTTTTAAACAGCTAATAGTTATGTTTAAACTTGAAAATCAGCGGGGAGAAAGCACAGATTTTGTTATCTAGTTCATAAATAAAAAATATTCAGCAGACATTATAGCTTCCTCTTTGCTTTGCTTTTAAAGGTTTCTTAGTACTCTAAGGTCTTCACAACACAGAGGTCAATATAATATATAGAATAACAGAAGCTCCAAAAAGTAGATGGAACAGATCAAATGTCAGGAAATCAGCTGCTGAAATACCAAATGAGTGTAATCCTACTGAATGCTGAACTCTACAATAAAAGAAACGATGCAGAGTTCCTTATTAGTCTTTTCAAATTGAAGTTTGATTTAATTATACTTTGTTAGAACAAACTTATTTTCTAAAATTTGGAAATAATATGGGCAAATTCATTGCCAGTTCAAAACAAAAACAACCCAAAAAGCCCACAACTGATCAAACAATAATACTAATAAAGCACCAACACAAAACCAGAAACACCCAAACAAACAAAAAGCAATCAAACAGACAAACAAAAAACCAAAACCAAGCCAACGCACAAAGGAAAACAAAATAATCCTGACAAAACAATCCATGCTGGAGTATGACTGTTTGCACAAGCAGTGACACTCCATTTATGTCCTTGGGCCTTCAGGTGCCAGGGGAGTTGATACCAGACAGTCTGCTCTGGAACCGCAGCACAGCAATCTGAATTTTCAAAGTGTCTCTCAGGATCCTGATGAAATCCACGAATTTCCTTTCCCCCTCAGTCTGCAGCTGCTGGCAAGTGGCTACTTTCCTAAAACTGGCCCAGCTTAAGGTCAGGCAGCTGGCTTTGAAGTGACAGGTTCAAAACTCTCACAAACAAGCAAGAAATTAGTATTTTTTTTCATACAGTAATTTTATTTTTTTCCTCATCATTTTTACTTGACACAGTCACCTGGCAATATTGACATTGTTCCCTTGGCTTTCCCCCATCAATCTGACTTAAGAATTCAAAAACTTTTGCTATTGCTCTCATTAAGCTTCAGTTAGCACCCTTGTTAGGTTATAGAGTACAAATGATGCTAATTTCTGCAGAATTCAGTGAGCTTTAAAAATCAGATGCAATGGGATTCATTTCCTTTATTAATACTCCCTTATTGGTTTTAAATAGCAGTTTACTTTCACCCTCACTTCATGGAAATATAATGATATACAAAAAAAAAAGAGACTTTTGTCTCTGTTTATTCTTTATCTGTATACTAGTTTGTCTATCCAACTAAAAATCAGGAAATGCTTGTTTTTCAAAGCCCTCTTATAAACGGGTCTGGCCATGTTTATACAGCTCTGCATGGATTTCCTACTCTCTTTAGCTCCACTTTCCCACTTCAGGTTATGTATTCTCAGTAGAGTCCAACAATTTCACATTACAATTGCTTTCTATTTCTAAGCAGAAAGAGCCATATTATGAAAGAACACAACTCATATAATTCATTCAAACCAAATATCAAATATTTAAATTTTACCTCCTTGCTTTCCTCCAAATCCGAGTCACTGCTAAACTCTTCTGTATTTAGATGTTCAAAATCAGATTCTCCAGCAGCTATTGGTACTGTAACTGTAAGGCTTGGGTTGTTTATGAATGATGTATAATCACTGTCACCTATAACAGTGGCCATTCCATTCTCATTTTTGTGATAATTCGTATCTATCCTTATTTCAGCAATGGTACAGTTGGAAATGCAACGGTCTTTCTCAGGTCTCTCATGCAATTGATCTGTTGCTGTTCTTTGATTTACAGCAGCTTGTTTCCCCCAACATGCTTTTCGGACACATTCACCTGCTTTTTTCTTCACATAATCTATTCCCTTCTGAATTCTTGCAACAGCAATCTGTAAGTTGTTCATTTCATTATCATCCTCTGTAGGAGAAAGGCTGTCCGAACTAAATGAACTCAGCAGCAAGGCCAGAAAAAGGTTCAATACCTAAAAAACCCCAAAACCAAAAAAAAAAAAGAAAAAGACAAAAAAAGACAATACATGTGAATTTCATCCACATGCTTCTTCTATCACCATTATTAACTCAGGGTTCGTGTTTTCCTTTGCTGTATATGATTTGGAAAATACGCAGTAGATAAAATATAAATGCATTTTAAGTACAACACCTACCCTTCTATGTTTGTAGAAGGTCAGAAATAAACGATTCTTTTGTACTAACTGAACAGATCAAAAATGTTTACTTCTCTGGACAAGAAAGCACTCTTCAACAGAACACATACTTCATATGTGCAGAAAAGAGCTTTCTTAAACAAACTCACACAGGTATTTTGCTGTAGGTAACTTAAAAAATGTGAAGAACACCGTATCTCCTAACCCACAAGTCATCCTCTTCATTCAGCAAGACAAAACATAGAACAGGTATCATTTATATAAGCCCAGAGTTTACCAGTAGCTCAAATGGTACTAGGATAGCCAAAGCAGCGGAATATCAACTCTTAAAAGCCTTCACATCAGCTCTTCTATTCAGCTTTGAAGGCAACAGAATAAAACTATGCTTAAGGAACATAGAGAGACAACTGGATAACAGAGCCCTGAATATACAGCAGAGATTGCTCATGAAAGAAATTCTGCTAGAGCTAAGGTATAAAATCACAACACAGTAAATACTGTGAAAGAAAAAAAAAAAACCAAAAACCAAACAACAAATCAGAGATGGATACTTCATTCCACAAACTTCTGTCTTCTGGTTTAGAAAACTATGGAAGGAGGACATTTTATTTGGTCAACCAAACAGCTCTCTAAAAAAAACAGATCTGTAGAAAATCCTGAAGCAAGTGGCTGTTTTACTGGTAGTAATACATGACTGGTTTAAAGACAGTTAGTTTATTCTTGTTGGAAATTTTATTCCTAAAGAATGCTGGCAGGACGGTTAATTTAAAATCTCTTTTGCTATTGAAAGTTGCATAAAGAAAAGATGTAGACTAATAGTGGAAGACTCAGCAGGCAATGAGAAAAGCAGAGCAAGAGGCAGAGAAATGAAGGCCTCAGATACTGGTGAGTTAATGAACATAAAAATTTTAAAGACAGGTTTGCGTACAATAATGTAGAAACTGTTAATGTACAGATCTGATGCTTTCCTCTGAAAGAGGAAGATATAGTACAGACCGCTCTAGTAGTGTGTGTAAATATCAATTAAAAGACCAGAAGCAAAAAGTTGAAGGGGTGAAAAAGTATCTGAATCTCCTTTTTCTGCAGAACTTCTGCCTTCCTGTTCAAGTTTCTTGACTCAAGTTGTATAAAAAGTTAGCTGTGCAGTAAGCAAGGCTCAATATGGTTTACATTTCACAGCCTAAGAACGTTAAAGCAGTCATTTTGATAGAACAGAGAAAGTGGAAAAAAAAATCCCATATAGGATCAAAAATCTAACAAACAGAAAACTATTTCAGCACCTATACTCATAACAAAAATAATAAAACCCATATTTAAATAACACATTTAATGATGCTTTAAAAATTCATTACTGGTTCTGTTACCATTCTTACTCTAAATGAATTCTCAAATTATTTTGGCTACATACCACTAGGTTTCCGATCACCATGACCATCATGAAGACCGTAAGGCACATGGGTTGGCCTGCAACCTGCATGCAGTCCCACATTGTTTCTATCCATTCTCCACACAGCACTCGGAATACAATCAAGAAAGAGTGGAAAAAATCATGCATGTGCCAGCGTGGAAGTTCACAGCTGTCAGAGATATTGCAGACATACTCCTTGTAGCTTTTCCCAAACAGCTGCATCCCAACCACAGCGAAAATGAACACAATGATGGCCAGCACCAGGGTCAGGTTCCCCAGAGCCCCCACTGAGTTGCCAATAATCTTAATCAGCATATTTAGAGTTGGCCAAGATTTTGCCAATTTGAAAACTCGCAACTGAAAAACAAAAAAGACAGAGATGTTATTTGCAGTAGTTACAAAAATGGTAAAGAAATAAACAACAGATTATGAACAAGTGACTCTCAGCAATGACAATAAGGAACTTCAGCATGATGACAACAGCCATAATTTACACAGAAACAGGAGTTTCACAAAATCCACATTTCTAAAGCCTAATACATTTTAGACTTTGCTCATTTTTGTACAGCATGTCTGTATTCTTTTCTACATGAAAGAAACAGCACACTGGTTGAATTTGTTCAGATAGTAAATTCTGAACATGGCATACACATCAACAATTACGTGCAGAAACAAATCACATTAAAAAAAAAAGCCAAATACAAAAGCAAAAACCACAAGAAAGCTCAACAGCATTCTACTGACAGAAAATAAAGGATTAAGAAGTTCTCAAAAAATGGTGTTCCAAAAGAATACTGCCTCCACAGTCTGGAGAAAAAAAAAGCCCAACACAAGCTCTAGGTTAAACATTTTAAATAATGAAGGGGAAAAAATATAATTGATACTCCTTATAAGCCATAATCCATCTGAAATAAAAAAAGGTATTAAATATTTTTTTGTTTTCAGATAAAGCAAAATGGAAATGCAAAATGGAAAGACATCACAGGTTAAAAATGTCTCATAGTTAATTTCTCAGTTTTATTTTTTTTTTTCTAATAAAATAAAGCATACTTTATTTTGCCAGGGAGGAAGAAAAAAAATAAGAAAAAAAAACCCCAATCTTTTTAAATTGAAAAATATGTATTTTATAATTTCTGCATCTAAAAGAACATTTCTAGTCTTGCAATTTCCAGATATCAAAGCAGACAGAAGACTACAAATGTTTTGTTTATATCTCTCAATAGGCATTAAATAAATTGTACACGTCACTCTGCTTTACCCATCTGTGTCAAAACAATTATAAAAAAAAATACAGCTTTCCCTTGAAAAATACTTAGTTGCTTCTGAACCTTAAAATGGCACACACTACTCAGTGATAATTTTTTAAAACATGTTTTTAAAACACTTAGCAAAAAATACACATATTACTGAAATGTCTTATTTACATTAATACAATTAAAATAAAAATAATGAATTAATTAACACAGATATATTATAATCACTTATTTCTTTACCAATCTGAATGATCGCAGAACGGATAATCCATCCACATTTGACAGAAAAAGCTCCACCAAACTAAGGGCAACTATAAAACTATCAAAAATATTCCAGCCAACTTGGAAATAATAAAAAGGATGCATGGCAATTATCTTGAGAACCATTTCTGCTGCAAAAATTCCAGTAAAAACCTGAAGGAAGAATGTTTATTGTTACTTTATAGATGAATATGAGGAAGTTGAATCAGCACATAAAGAACACTTAAGAAGTAACAATTCCTCTGACAGCAGAATGTCAGTAGAGAAAATTAACAGAAGCAGAAACTCACAGGAAAAGTGACAACATTAAAATGAGCTATAGCATAACACTATTAATTGAAGTTAAACCTGAGACATGTTTAGTGACTAGTGAAGAATAAACTATTCCTAACAGGCCTCCTGTTTGCTCCTCATATTTGCTGCCCATCTAATTAAAGAACTTTTCTCAGCAAGATAATAAAACTTGCTTTTGCCACAATGGAAGCTGCTTTAAATTAAAGGTGTGTGAAAAAATATGAACTGATCGTGAACTGGGGAGTGATGCACTCTTAAGAGTTTTCATGAGACCTTAAATTGTTCAACATCTTTGTCACTGACATGGACAGTGGGATTGAGAGCACCCTCAGCAAGTTTGCCAATGACATCAAGCTGAGTGGTTCGGTTGATACGCTGGAGGGAAGGAATGCCATCCAGAGGGCCCCTGACACACTTGTGAGGTGGGCTGATGCCAACTTCATGAAGTTTAACCATGCCAAGTGCAAGGTCCTATACCTGGGATGGAGCAATCAGGCACAGCTACAGGTTGGGCAGAGAAGAGATTCAGAGCAGCCTTGTGGAGAAAGACTTGGGGGTGTTGATCGATGAGAAAATGAACATGAGCTGGCTTCAGTGTGCCCTCAAAGCTCAGAAACCAACTGTATCCTGGGCTGCATCAAAAGGAGCGTGACCAGCAGGTTGAAGGGGGTGATCCTGCCCCTCTATCTGCTCTCGTGAGACCTCACTTGGAGTATTGTGTGCAGTTCTGGTGTCCTCAACATAAAAAGGACATGGAACTGTTGGAACAAGTCCAGAGGAGGGCCATGAGGATGATCAGGGGACTGGAGCCCCTTCCATATGAAGACAGGCTGTGAAAGTTGGGGCTGTTCAGCCTGGAGAAGAGAAGGCTGCGTGGAGACCTCAGAGCAGCCTTCCAGTATCTGAAGGGGGCCTATAGGGATGCTGGGGAGGGACTCTTCATTAGGGACTGTAGTGATAGGACAAGGGGTAACAGGTTAAAACTTAAACAGGGGAAGTTTAGATTGGATATGAGGAGGAAATACTTTCCTGTTAGGGTGGTGAGGCACTGGAATGGGTTGCCCAGGGAGGTTGTGTATGCTGCATCCCTGTCGGCATTCAAGGCCAGGTTGGAGAGAACCTTGGGTGGAATGGTTTAGTGTGAGGTGTCCCTGCCCATGGCAGGGGTGTTGGAATTAGATGATCTTAAGGTCCTTTCCAACCCTAACTATTCTATGATTCTATGATTCTAGATAAAGTAAGCGCATCTTCTCTCTCTAGCTGAAAAAAAAAAAAACAAAACAAAAGGCCAATAATGCCAAGGCTCATACTTAAACTAAAGCTCCTTTCTGCCTCTCAATGTCTCTGACACTACCTGAAGCAGAAAGCAAACGCCTCTTAAATAATTTGTTGTGTTTACTGTAGATTTATGACCACCAGTATCTCCAGAACTGCATAAATTGTTATCTTTTACTGGGAAGATGAGCAAACTTCAAAACAAAACAACCCAGGAGCATTTGACAGTTCTTAAAAGAGAGTGCTACACAGCTCAAAAAGCAAACAATCAACTGCTGAAACTACACATGTAGTACAGTGACATTTTAGCTGACTGGGTGTAAACACAAATTCTTACACTCACAGGGCTCAAAATTACATTAATATTAAATATGACAGGAAAAAATGGTTGTACTTCCTGGGTAAAACACACAGGCAGGATCACAAGACAGACAAGATGTCTGCAACAGTCACTGTTCCTCACCTATTCATCTCCCCTGTCTTTCTCCTCAAACACATCCTGAATTTATTTTAAACAGCGACAGGATTACTTTCCATAGATAATGCTCTCTGACTCCTGGTTAAGGTGAAAACATTGAACTATGTTGATACTGGCTAAAAATATAAGCCTAAAATTAAAATGTTGACACATTAACAACTCTAGACTTAAACCTGAATACAATCTCAACATGTACTAGAATTTTATATATTCTAATAACAAAATTGTTTTATTATTTTGTTACACCATAATCAACAGAACTATTTTTCACAACAAACATAGGTTAAAAACTATACTAGATAACATGATCTATATTATTGCCATTATAAAACAAATGAACCAACCACCTCAAACCCAACCTAGAGGCTGTGTCCACTAGGGAACTTACCTGATTTCCTATTTTAAGCACAATACAGAAATTGTTAGTCATTGGGTAATGTTCCATGGCCATAAACAGCGTGTTTAAAATTATGCAAACAGTTATAACTAGGTCAACAAGTGGATCCATTACAATAAATTCAACTATATTCTTCACTTTTAACCAGGGCTCCCAACAATTCCAAATTAAGAAAGTGTGGGCAAACTTATACCAGCAAGGTGGACATTTTTGTCTGGATTCTTCAAGTTCTGTAGGGGGAAAAAAAAAAAAAAGTGAACAATGATTTGGAGGAAGCGAAGATAGAGTTTGTTTATCTGCTTTTTCAGGGTTTAATCATTACCCATGGATCCATTAAGGATGTTTGGAGAAACTTCCTCAGATTTCAGAAGACTTAGAGAAAAACCTCAAGAATTTTGAGCTAGTAATTGATAAACTTATCTATTTTTAATATCATACGATGCTGTTACAAAAAAACCTAAAATATTTATGCTTACATTTAGGGACAGCTTTCTCTTTACGACTTCCAAGTTCAGAGTCCTCTCAAATGTTCAAATACTTATCTTCAGGAAAAATAAGGCTAATTTTACCACGACTAGGTGTTTGAAAATTATTCAAACTTTATCAAGAATTTCACTAGTAATAATTTCACTGTTCCAAATAATCTTCCTGCAAATTTTGTTCTCCTTATTAACTAAGGCCTGGCCCTTAAGTCACTATCACATTTTTACAATATAGTAGAAAATTTATCACAAGGTATTTCTTCCAATATCTGTATTGCTAAACATGAATAACTAGTACAAAACACATACATGTTATTTATTTCAATTAGAACATGTTTCTTATTCTGTTAGAAACATTTTCTTTAAATAGAAGATGTTTTGACTGCTTAATTTCTTTTTTCACTATGTACATGCACTTTTGTTCATTTATCCAGTCTGTGTATTTGCAATGGCTAATATATTTTTTATCTTTCATATTCGCATTGTGATATAATACCTTCAAGGTATTCTGAGACTATGTCAATAACATTCACAGTTACAATTATTAGAATGGTTCAGGTTGGAAGGGACCTTAAAGCTCATCTAGTTCCAACTCCCCTGTCATGGACAGGTGCATCTTCCACCAAACCAGGTTGCTCAAAGCCCCATCCAACTTGCCTCTACTTCCAGGGATGGGGCAGCCAGTTCTCTGGGCAACCTGTTCCAGTGCCTTACCACCCTCACAGTGAAGAATTTTTTCCTAACATCTAATCCAAATCTCTGTCAGCTTAAAGTCATTCCCCCTTGTCCTGTTACTACATGCCCTTGTAAAATGTCCCTCTCCAGATTTCTTGTAGTCCCCTTTCAGGTATTGGAAGACTGCTATACGGTCTCCCCTCAGCCTTCTGTTTCTGCTGAAGGGTTGTGTTTTTTTCATTTTTATCACTATTTAATGAATTTATATCCTGCAAAATATCAAGTTCTCTACAAAAAGTAGTATCTTTCTCAAAAAAACAAACAAACAAAAAGGCCAAGGTGTTTCAGCCTGCAAGATAACACCGAAGACAAGGGAATAAGAACTGCAGCTTTAGGTTTCCTGATTGCCTTCACTTGTACAGTTACTGTTCTAAGGTAGCACATCTGCACTTATGACACACCTTCCATTGTATTTGTGATAATGCCAGCTATACTCATGGCTCTTTCCCTTAAATCAGGGTCCTCCAGCAACTCCACTGGTATCTGATAGGAACTTGTAGACCTCTTTTTTATTTCTGTTTCTGTAGTAGTGCTCTATAGAAACAAAGCGGGGGATTAAAATCAATATTAGAAATACTGCAAAACAGTTGTCAAAGACTTCTGTTTCAATGAATTTATAGTATACAAAGCCTTTAAGTGCTGCTGTATCAGATTTTTCTTCTATTATACATATAAATCTAGTATTTTTTTCTAAATTGCTGTTTTCATGTTATATTTCTGAATACTGTTAATACGTATAAAATACCATAGAATGATTTTTATATTTAATTCTCAGATTATAATCACATTATAGTTAACTAGCATTAGCTCGCCATTAGACATAAAGAAATACTGAAGGAGACCACAGTCAAGGAAACAAACCCAGACTGATTAAAAATTCCCAGTTCTCAGTTCCATGCTTTTTCTACCAATATTTCACTGTTGAACTAGTTCAATTCACAAGATATTTATAATAAGTGATTTACATTAGGAAGTTTTCTGCAATAAATTACTTTCTAGAATTCATTTAAAAATAAAAATATAAAAAAAATTAGTCTTAATGTCCATACATATTCAAAACTAATTTAAAAGTTAACTTTAACATTTAATAACTATCATCTCCAATTTATGTTATTAATTTCTACTGAAGAAACAGAAAAAATCTGGGTGACCCAAAAAAAAATGAATACTCTTTTTTAGGTATTTTATTAAAAAAAAATTGAAAGCTGTGTTGTGTCAATGAACACACCTCAGTTATGAAGAATTTTTGAACGTATGAGCATAGGCAGATTTTTTTTCAGTAAATTAAATAAGGCAGGAAAATGAAAGCGTAATGAACTACAAGAGGACTGTAAGTGCAAGGAATCTGGCTGATGCACTTTCAGATGCTGTGACCCAGGTAAAAATTTTTTGTTTCAATAAAAATTTCTAGGAAAACATATGCAACAGATCCTTCTGATCCATTCCTAAAGCAGACTGGGGGAAACGGAAAAACTGACAGAAGGAGAAACATTAATTTGCATGTACTTTCTTTTTTCTTTTTTTTAAGCTACACCTTGATACAAGGCAGTGGGAAACTCAGCTCATTTCTCAGACTCAGGAGAAAAAAAAAGGGTTTCAGAGCTTCCAACATGTCAACATCATCTTTAAGACTGCACGACTTGCACAATACCAAATATATGGACACAGGGGAAAAGCAGGACCAGCAGATTATTAATAGAGAGCTAGGAAATACGTTTTTTAAAGAAGCTAAAACTATAAGGAAAGAAAACATATGAAGACAACAAAACAATCTGCAGAATGTGTAGAAAGCTGAGCACCCCATTTTGGGTTCTAGGCCAAATTTAGCAATTGAACATTACTAATTTGTTTCACTAAGCAGGTGTAGGCATATCCTTGCTCTGCGGGTATATAAAAATGCGGTACTTTGCCCTCTTTCATTTTCATGCTTCAGCTTCTCACTCTTGACTGAATCACCCTAAACCCATTCCACTACAGTAAGATATGCAAAAGCATTCACAAGTTCTCATTCATTTTCAAACCATTTAACTCCACTAAAACATTGTCTGCTGCAATAGAGGTCATAAAACATGGAGCAATTTTAAACTTTCTTACATTGTCATCAGTTGTCGGTTTATCTATTATCACCTCTGGCAGAAGCTGTCCAGTAGGCAACAACAGACTTGGTGGTCCATCCACTAAGGAAACCACTCCATTGCAATCCACAGTGCTGTGCATCTTCCCATTCACTGGAAACACTGCCAGCCTTCTTGAGGGTCTACTGGCCTGACTAATGTTACTACTGCGCCGTTCACCATGCCTGCGTGGCAAAAAGAGAGAACCTCTTCTGCTCCCAGTATCCTCAAATGTGCTGTGCTCATCATCAGCAAAGTCATTTTCAGATCCTATATCTCTTCCGTATTCTCTAAAACTGAAGAGACTTGTTCTGCTACTACGTCTGGGAGAAAATAGGGAACCACGAACACTCAGTAAAGACTGCAAAGGAAACATAAACAAAATGCATACATAGATTTACTGCATACCTATGTATAAAAAAAATCATAAAATATGTCCCCCAAGAATCTGATAGCATTATTTTTAATACAGTGCCCTAGGTACATTTGAAATGTGCCCTAGAGTTGCAAGTCATACTGTAAATTTACCCATTCACATACCTAAACAATTATTGGAGAGAAAAGAATGAACATGCATAAGGCCATAGGAGCTTCCACCTGTGTATTAAAGAGAAAAATCAGGACTTCTAGAACTTCTAATGATCCACAGAGATCATGCATTATATTAGAAAGTGTCAATACCCTTAGTCTCCTACACTGATACATTAAAAAATTCCTTTTATTAATTAATAAGGGATTCCTATTTCAAGTGAACTAGGGAAAACACAATGCTGCTGTGCATCGTAAGACCCACCACATCCTAAACAAAGTGAGAGAGAAATCAAAAAACTTGCTTAGGTACAATCTAGAAAATAATAACATTAAGTCAAGATTTAGAACAATGCAACATTACTTCTTCTTGGTTGCATTACTTTGCAGAGGTGCAGTGAAGTTTGTTGGATATTATGGTTACCTTACAAACCCCAAAATAACAACTGCACTATTCACAGTACCTGGTGCGGTGATGTGAACGGCTTCCCATAAGCAAGTCTGTTCCCATCCAAAGAAAAACGGAAACCTTTCTTTCTGATACTGCCATCTGATTCAGATTTTGGAACCTTTTCATCCTTCATGTCATCCTCATCTCCAGAGAACTCCTTCTGCCTTCTTTTCTTCCTTCTATTTCTTCTCTCTTTGGCACTTTTTGAGCTAATCCTGGATGCTTCTGAAGAACTATCTGAGGGTCCACCAATCCCACTTTCACCGCTGTACTCAGTCATCTCTGCTGCAGCTGCTATTGCCTGACACAGCAATTATTTAACATGATGATTTACAAATCACACCATTTTTTAAAGGAAGCTATAGTCATCGTTCCTAAGATTTATAGCAAATTACTTCTAAATGTTTGACAAAGGCCTATATGGATTTGTGAAAGCCTTCTAATGAAATTCTGCAATATGAGTTAAAATAAAAGGGCAGTTATGAAAGCTGCCATTCAAATTTTCTGTTTTACATCCACATCATGAAGTCAGAAGGCACTGCATATACCCACAAAGCTCATGAGAAAAATAACTGAAAATTACTAAATTTATCAATTAGATTGAATTCCATTGCAAACAAAAGAGCTAAATAAAGTCATACTTCAATCTGTATCAATTTAATAAACTAATTTTTGCTGTTATTGTAAGTAACAGCTTCCTTAAGATGTTCTTTGGAAAAAACTTATGGGTACTACTTCCAGTCTTTAATTCACTGGTGGCAGTACAGGTAGCAAAAAATTATTCAGAAATTTAAGGATAAAAATCATTTATATTCTAATCCAGGCTTGACAAGTATTCCACAAATATTGCAAATACTTCTGAGAATTTGGAAAAATATCATGACAGGCTACTAGATACTACCTCTAGAGAATAAATATTTATTAAAAAAACTATTAAACTGATTTGTGGAGTACTTTTTGTTCTCAGTTCAGAAATTCATTGACATTTTAGACATTATACTTAAAAAGCAATAAAAAGCCATGGAGAAAGCAGACTAAAGTACTTGCAAGATATGTAAAAGAATGGCTTTTTTTTTTTTTAACTGAATTATTGGTTCGGGTTTGAACAAACAGCATGCAATGGCATATACTAAAATCCAAACTCTTGTTAGAAAATACCTGAGCTGCTTCTTGCTGCTGCTTCAGCTGTTCAAGCATCTGCTGCAAGTCTGCCTCCCTCTGTTCTGCTTCAACCAGAGTTGCTTGATTTTGTTCTTCATAGGCCATGGCAACCACAGCCAAAATTAAGTTAATCAGATAAAAAGAACCCAGAAAAATTACCAGAACGAAAAATATCATGTATGCTTTGCCAACAGCTCGTAGTGTCTATAAGAGAAGAAGAGAAATGATCCATCTGGTAAAGACATGCATCAGTTCTGCAATTCACAAGCATTTACTGAATTTGAAAAGTGCAAAACTATTATTGAGCTGCTCTGTAATAAGATCATACAAGCTTTCCGAATTACAAAATAATCAAAAAAAGGGAGCATTCATGTATGTTAAAAACATATTTAAGGATAATGCTGCTTTGAGACAAAGCTCTTTTAATGCCTAATAATCTTGAAAAGAATGTGGAATTAGAGTCTTTAATATGAATCACGTATCACAGGTTGGATGCTTAGTACACTTACCGTGTGCGAGTATGCTTTCCCCATGAAAAAAACCAAAAGAATTAAAGATGGCACAATTGATTAAATACTTAGAAGACAATATTTATTAACAGATTTTCACACACTACGTATGAAAATCTATGGTAAGGAAAGTAATTTATAGAAGACACACATTCTTAGTTATGAAAAACAGGATTTCCAGCACAAAAACTTAGATGCAGATTTTGCTGTCATGGAATTATTTTTACAATTTAAACTCAGTATTAAAGTTTTTGAATATAAGATCCTATCATGAGGCACAAAATGAAAAATACATAGCAAAAATTAAAGATCAAAAAACCTCATGGGCCTCTTCAGAAATCATGTGAGATTCTGTAGTAAGTGCCCATGTCGGCTTAATTCTGCAACTGAATTTGACTCTCTTCACAAATTGATTTTCAATTGCAAACAACAACAATGGTATGAAATATAAATATGAATGGCCTTTCCATGTTTAATTTGGGGACAATAAGACACTAACCACAATTTTTACTATACACTCACCAGCTGATAAAGATTTTCCCAGTAGTCCTGTGTCATAAGTCGAAACAGTGACAAGAATGCCCAACTGAATGTATCAAAACTTGTGTATCCATAGTTGGGGTTTCTACCAGCTTTCACACAGATAAACTTTTCTGGACATTTACTAAGAGAGTAAAAAAAAAAAGTAAAGCAATCTATATAAAAAAGAAAACAATATATAATACTACATTTGTTTTTAAGTTATTGTACCTTAGGCATCTATTTGCAGCTTACAATATTTTAAAATTTAGTGGGAAAATGAAAAGAGTGTTTTTTAAAAAGCCAGAAAAGAGGAAATAAGTAAATGAAAATCTTTATTCCTACCTTCTTTCACCATTAAATACAAAATAAAACTTATTCCCAAGAGTTTGGTATGACCTCTGCAGATATGTCTTCCACGGAAACAATGTATTTACTTAACACAGAGACTCCATATGGTGAATAATTTCATGCAAAAAACCAGAAAGTCAGTATACATATTTTTATGCTGAATTCTATCTCTCAGCAGGGTTGGCCTACCAGATTTCTTGGTTTCCTCAAGTCTCTGAATTGGTCAAGTCAAATTAACAAATTCTGCCAATTCCTCAACAGCAAATACCACCATAGCAATACTTTTATCTCCTAAAACTGTACATCTCAGTTTATGTATTAGGTGATCTAATCTTGGTATCAACTGTAAGCACACTGTTTCAGTTACGATTCTAGTCCTAAACAGTAGAAGAGGTTCTTGCCTCCAAAGCCACTATAGAAAAAATACTATAAATATTTCTTTTCATGTATGTGCATGTACACTTGATGCATATTTACATACACACATAAAGTTACCTGATAGTTACTTATATATATATACATGAAATGTTTACCAAAAAAGACTTAAGTATATCTGTTTTGAAGAAGTAACAAACCAAAACAAAGGGATGGACTGATTCCCTGAAATGCAATTTTTCTATTTACATAAGAGGTTTTTAAAGGAATTTACAGCAACGTATTGCCTGATTTGACATTTTTACTCATTCAAATTTTTACTTACTACAAACCATGACCACACATTAATGTGAAGTCAGGTAGCTAAATTAGCTTCTCAAGTTTAGAGTGATGTGTTTTGCACTTTGGTTAGACAGGTAGAATGCAATTTTCAGTGTACCTTACCCTGCATCTGAGCTATTGCCACAAAGTAGATAATCCTTTTGTCCTTTTAAGCGATAGAAATTACCTAAAGAAAAAACAGGAAGCAACATGATTCTTATCAGTAGGAGGTTTTGGCAGGTTTTTTTGTGAGGATGAACCTATGTCCAAGTTACCATGGTTTGAATGTTCATAATCTCCCATTCGTGTTTTCCCAATAAGGGGTTCAAATACAGGCACATCCATACTGGTAAGTAAAGTTACAAAATTAAAGAATAAAATAAAAACATGATGTAAAAAAGAAATCCTAGAACAATGATTAGAACATTTAAACATAAATTACATAGTCATTTCTTATTTTATAGCAAATACTGAAAATCCTTCCAAAATCTGATGTTTAGTAAGTCAGAGAAATAAAGCACAAAGCCTAGAACTCTTTTGCTTATTCAGTAGGCAGACTGTAATCAGATAATTAAAGCCTACCTCATTTAAAATGGAACTATTTACAATGGCTGGCTAACATTGGCAATTATTAACTAGAACATCCTGTGATTAAAATATGAAGGTAGCATTTAAAAGGAAGATGGATGTTCCAATGACAATGTTGTAACAGCTGCTGGACTGTAAACTAATTTACAGAATTTTTCTTTTAATTATAAGGTTGTAGGGTTCAGAAATAAAAGAATGACAAACTATGTTGTTCTTTAAAACAAATAAAAAGAATACAGATAGAAAGATGGTAACTAACTATGGAAGAAGTAAATTGAGGGCAGATCCCATTCAGAGGGATCTATGTAGGCTGGAGGAAAGGGCTGACAGGAGACAGAAAATTCAGCAAAGTCAAATGCAGAGTTGTGTCCCTGGGAAGGAGGAACCCCTTGGAGTGATACAGGCTGGGGGCTTTGCCAGCTGGGGAGTAGCTCTGCAGAAAAGACACTGGGGGGTCTTGGCAGACAGAGAGCAAGGTGAAAGTAAGACAGCAGGCTGGCAAAGAGCCTGACAAAAGGCTTGGGGTTTAAAAGGGTAAAAAACTACTTAGTCAGAAACTATGATGAAGAATATATGAAGATAGGAGGATTGCAAACTGAACACTTACATCAAGCCTAGTAATGCCAAAATCCTACCATTCAATAACAATACTTACACAATGTTAGAAATATTATAATCCTATTATTTCCATAGATTCTTTAGAGCTCGCCAAAACTCTGAATGTTCAGCTACTGATCTAAATGCCAGGTGCCAATACTCTGACATGTGGATTGTTCATATATTTTCAAAAAGTAAATCTGGCTTTGTTCCTTAACAAATGAAAATGCACATATGTTAGAAAAAGTCACTAGATGGCATCACAGTCACTCACAGCTGACCAGCATATGATATGATGAAAAATAATACTAGGAGGACAAACAACTGAGTTCACTGAAATTATAATACAACTGACATATAAAAATGATTAAGAACAGGTTATATAAGAATGGAGGAATATAAACATAACTAGGTGGAACTTCCTCGCACTCTGTAGAGACTCCCAGCAAAGTCAATGGCTGTAGTATAGGAAGCAAATGACATTCTTGAAGATTTTAGTTCTGTGGTTTAGTTTTAGATTGATACTTAGTGGAAAATGGAAATAGAAAACCTCTATACTGTATCTGAAGAGAAAATTCACAAGTGTTCTACAGCATATAAGCTATCAGCCAAAATTATCCACAAAGCACTATCATCAGTCCATTTCTGCAACACTTCTTAGGCAAATAAACCAGCTAAAATAATAGATTGCACAAAAAATGTAAATACAGTCACAGAATTTTGAGAACATTAACAATTCAGAAGTATAGAAAGAAAATCTGAAAATACAGAAAAAAGAATTTTAATGTCCATTTTTAAGGAAGGAAGGAAACATGACTCATCAAAACTCAGCCTGTAACAACTGCATTTGCTTTTGCTTTTGGGTCAGTGAGGAGGGAGCTAGCATCCACTATTCTACCAATTTGTTTTTCTTTAAACACACTATTGCAAATAATTACTGAGCAATACCCCGTAAATCCACTTCCAGCACACACTCACACATGAAAATGAATCAAATTTTTGGCAATTAGAAGATGATGTACTACATCTCATGGTTACTGGTGTTACCACTTAATATGACACAAACACAAAAAATAGCTGTCTGTTTCTGAACCTGCCTGTTATCACTTCAGTCTACAGAGATTAAGACTACTGAAAAACATCTCGATTAAGATGTCTTTGTCAGTCCCCTTAGTAAACAATATGTCCTACAAGATGAATACCATCTTCTTTCCTATCAGAACCACTACTTGCTTAGTGAGTTCTTTATTTAACAGAGACCAACTGATTTCTTACATCTACCTAATAATAAAAGTACATCTTAACTAGGAAATCGCTGATATTTATCTAGTGCTTTTCTACCTTATTTGCAACCTAAAGATGCAAGCAGAGGCTGAAAGAATTAGGTTTGTTCAGCCTTGAGATCAGGGTGGGAGGATGTGGGGGGTGTAGGTGGATCTTCACACTGCCTACAACATGAAAAACTCAAGATGGAGCCTGACTCTTCCCAGAGGCGCACACTGGAAGTGTTAAGAGGCAATTATGAAAAGTTTAAAATTCAGATTTGATATTTTAAAAAGATACTGTGAGACAGGTCAAACACTGGGCAGGCTGCCCAGAGACACTGTGGTATCTCAGTTCTCAGAGATACTAAAAAATTGACTGGACATGGCACTGAGTAGTTAGAGACTGGACCTGCAGGCAAGCAGCAGCTGGTCTGGCTGACTGTGGAGATCTTGTCCAACCTGAATGAATCTGTGATTCTAAAACCAACCTAACCCTATAAATATGTTTCTAAGTGCAGAACAATCATGTCAGCATAGGTTTGGGATACAAATACATGCAAATCCCTACTCTTTGTCATCACATTTAATTGCTTTTTACCTTTAACCTACAGTATGAAATAGTAATCTTGTGTGTGAATGTGTTTAAACACAAAAATTTTTTTAAGTTGCAAAAGTGTTTCTTACTTTCATTCTCAATGTATGCTGTCCAGTCAAACTCCGTGCCATTAAAGTATGGAGCTAGGTAATTTTCAAAAGATGTTGAATTGTCTGATGGCCAGAACAAGCATTTATTCTTCAAATTGCCCATGAACAACTGCAGCCCTACTAGTGCAAATACACTCAGGCAAAACACAGTCAAAATCATTACATCTGAGAGCTTCTTCACAGACTGAATTAAGGCTCCAACAATAGTCTTCAAGCCTGCAGAGAGAAGCAGATTTTTGTTATCATATTAAATATTTACCTACACTAAAATGTGACGTGAACTGCTCTAACATACAAATATCATGCACAGCTTCTAAAAAGTCTTAAAAATATTTTCCAAAGGAAAAAAAAGTACCAATGAGTCTTATGGTTCCTGACAAATTAATTTGAAAATATGAATGTGAATGAATGTGACACGTTCCAAAACACTTGCTGTTCAAATGAAGAGGGAACTTTTTATTCATGCTTTCTATACATGTAAACTACATGTAAAGAAAATTTGTCATTTCATTTTCTTCTTGATGCCTCTTTCTCCAAACCTTTAACAGTGCTCTATTCCAATACATTGGTTCTACAACAGCAAACAAAAACAGAACACAATTGCACTGTGGTAGAAATTCTTATGACTGCATTCTTTTGCATCCTCTTCAACTGGAGCTGTAGTTTGGTGAAGACAGGCATCTTAAGGTAATAAATACACCATGCAGTTCCCATGCTTTATTATCTTGGTCTTTTGTCAGGAATTCAACTTCTACAACAGACTGAAATTTTCAATCCCAAATGTCTTCAATAAACAGTAACATTAAAATTAGTGAGAGAAAAATAAAAAAAAAAAAAACATTTTGATCCTTAATGTGGGAGAGAAAATTCGACACCATGAAATGGAAGTATGCACAGGATATGTGATTCAGTTTCTCATGCAAGAATGTATTAAACTCTGAGGCTGAGCATTTTAGAGTATTAGAAAAGGGAATCAAATTGCACTTAAGACTAAAATCTGGATGCTTCTGTTAAAGATAAGAGTTCAGCTCCTCTCGAATTTCAGTCAGCCTCAGTGTTTAACCTAGCTCTCACCTGGGATGACTGATATTGTTTTCAAAGCTCGAAGCACTCTGAATGTTCTCAAGGCTGAGACATTGCCCAAGTCCACAAACTCTGTCACATATCTGTAGTGAGGGATTCCACACACAAACACAATGACAGCACACACAAAATTAAACAGAGGTGATGTAGAGTGCCTACTATTTTACACATTTACTTCTTACCTGGAATTACAGAAATAGTTTTCAAAGCTCTCAATACTCTGAAAGTTCGAAGAGCTGAAACATTGCCTAGGTTTACAAATTCTGTTATATACCTGTAGGATTAAATCACAGTTATTCAGAATTGAGGTAAAGCATACACTGCTTACCTGGACCTGTAATCCAGACTGGAATTTTTGGAAGGGGAACTTTAAATGAAAGACTTGCAATTCATATATTCCTGTTTCAACTAAGTTTTCCCTAAGAAACACACACTTAAGTGAATCTCCATTGAATGTAAATTAAAAATGATTTCCCTGTTTATATTGTTTAAATACTCTTTAAAATTAATTGTTCAGTGGTAACATCTCTTTTAAACTGTGGGACCGTCCACTAATTCTGCTGTGTGCTACATTAGTGTAAAATACTAAAATGGAAAAAGTTGAAACACAATTCAACTACAATTCATTTTACATGAGATAAAATAACCCAAACAAATTATTACAGGTTAAAAAAAAAAAAAAAATCTGATATTTTACTTTAAAAACACTATATACTTACGCAAAGGAAATGACAACAAAATCGAGCCAGTTCCAGGGGTCACGAAGGCAAGTAAAATCATTTATACAGAAGCCTCTTGCAAGGATTTTTACCAGAAACTCAAAAGTATAAATTCCAGTGAAAGTGTATCTATGAGAAAACATCCAAGCAGAAGTATAAGATTGTCCTTCATTGATACAACACCACAGGCATAATGGAAAACCACTAGGACCCAGTAACTGTTACACATACTGTAACAGTAATTACAAACTCACATAAACTATGGCTGTTTTCCCACCACTGCTCGGCAAGATAATTGGATCGATTATTTATTTTATCTGATACATTTTTCCAGTTCCTGGCATATAAGATTTTGAAATTTCAGCAGAAATAATAATAATAATCATGACTATCACAAAAATATTTTTGCTCAAATAAAAACTTCAGCATGGTTGCCATGTCAGAAAAAAAAATCCATAGGTAAATGAAACCTAGGGTTTTCTAGCACTTGATGGATGACCAGGTATACTTGAGAATGTCAAATAATAATCCTTAGCAGAGGTATTTTCTTTAATAAGGGTGTGTGTGTCACAGTATCACAGTATGCTAGAGATTGGAAGGGACCTCGAAAGATCATCTAGTCCAATCCCCCTGCCAGAGCAGGAACACCTAGATAAGGTCACACAGGAATGTGTCCAGGTGAGTTTTGAATGTCTCCAGGGAAGGAGACTCCACAACCTCCCTGGGCAGCCTGTTCCAGTGTTCCGTCACCCTCACTGAGAAGAAGTTTCTTCTCACGTTTAAGTGGAACCTCTTGTGTTCCAGTTTGTACCCATTACCCCTTGTCCTATCATTGTTTGCCACTGAGTAGAGCCTGGCTCCATCCTCGTGACACTCCCCCTTTATATATTTATATACACTAATAAGGTCACCCCTCAGTCTCCTCTTCTCTAAAATATAGAGACCCCTTTTAGATTTTGTTATACAAAATGAAGATGCCTCAAAGGGCCTTAGAAAGCATCTTCCTCAATGAAAAGAAGTAGTTTCAGGCAGAATGGCCTTATTATTCTTCTTTTTTTTTACATATATATATAAAAATTCCGAAGGAACAGCTCAAGGAGAATGCATAAAAGCATTAGTTGTACAAACACTCTGAATTAAGAGTATTAATCAGAATATTGTTCAGAGGAAAAAAATAACAATATCACAGCTTGTTTTCTTCCTTGACCTTGAAGGTCTATGCTGCTTTGAGTAGCAGCTAGGATCAAACTCAGGCTAGAAAAAGGAGAATACTGGTATAACACACGGGAGTAAGTAAAACTATATAGTCTAGCTCTTAACTTTTTGTTTTTAAACCATATAAAAAATTACAAGCTGATTTAAGTATACTTACTCTACATTCTTTGCCCACTCTGGAAGGTTACTCCATGTCATAAAAACACAGTTTGTCAAAATAGTGAGCATAATGAGCATGCTGAACAATGTTGACTATAGTTAAGGAACATACTCTTGTTATCAATAATGCAAATAACGGTGCAAATAATGATGCAAATAATGTCATCAACAATGCAAAGAGGTTTCACAATAATGATGGCTATATCACTAACTCTGTAATCTAGGCACACATGCTGTGTATCTCCCTCTGAATTTAACCAGAAAGCTAAAGAGACAAATCTTAGCTCTGATTCATTTTGAAAGGAAGAATTAAATGTAGGTACACATTTAAGCACTAAACAAAAACCCCCATTGTTATTAAAGATTAAAAAAGACCAGTAATAATTTTTAACAAACCACTTGAAAAGGATATGAATGAACCAAAATCTTAATAGCTATTCTTCTAACAATATTGAAAGGAGATAAAAGGTACAAGGCAGGTGTGGCACTGAACCTGAAGATTGTCTTCCCTTTATTCAATACTATAAAAGTCTTACAAAAAAACCAAACAAACAAAAACAAACAGAAAAAAAGAGAGGAGACAGGAAATAGGAAATTAAGGACACCTGTTAGCAAGTTTGCCATAGAGGCTGCACTTACACATCAGTAGAATTTTACAAGCAAATACCAGTCTAAATTTTCACATAAGCAATGAAAAATCAACACCAGACATCCTCTGTACTTTTAAACAAAATCTGCATTTCAGCTTTTCCCAGGATTATGCTATTACATTAAAAGATTGTCATTTTTAACATTTAAAATTAATCCAGCTGTAATACCTGCACTTCAGGTCAAAGTTGGCAAAGCAAAACAAAACACCTAACCAAACATTTTTGGACACTTATAAGCAACTATTTCAGTCCTTTGTAACCGCTCCTGAGGTGAGATATCCTTGGCTTTCAAAGGCTTTACTGCCTTTACTGCATGTACAATTATCACTTGTACCATTTATGCAACCAGGTTTTTTTGACTATGAGACAAAATGAAAATGTCATCTAATTAAATCTTAATTCAATCTATTTCCTATGATTATTCTCCCAGAAGGCTAGTATCTGAAAATACAAAGGTAGTAACATTGAATCTGTTTTCTAATGATATTCTATTGTAAAAGAAATAGATAATTTGACAGTAGCATTCATGAAGTTGCAACAACAAAACCTAAACTAACTAAAAAAACCTACATCTGATTATTAGTTTTCAATATGCTGTACAAAAACCCCACTACTTTAACTTCACTGCTTCTTACAGAGAGATAATATAGCTCTTTGGTCACTTGCATGCAAGTTACTCATCTGTTGATTATCTAGCACTTGATTTCAAGAACCTGTCCTGTTTTTAATTCAGCAAGCATTTTATTGATTTAGACAATAAAATAACCACTCACTGCTTATATTCCACTTCTGCCTACATAAAAACATATTTTCTTCATCTGTACTTGCCAAAGTCACCACCCTTGCTCTTTTCTCCTTTTGTTTTCATTTTACCTACAAAAGAAACTGAGTCGCATTGCAGTACATATTTAGTTTAGATTTTGTCTTCAGGTCTATATTGGGCATGTACCATAGACCAAATATTAAAACACAAAGTACACAGTTTTAGTCCTTACACTCAGTCCCATGTGAGAAACGAGCGTCAGGCTACTGGCATCAATGTTATTTTTATGCTATTTTGCTGAACCGATACTGAGCCACAAATCCTCTTTTACATTAAAAAACCCACATCACTTATATGAAATTTCTGGGAAAACTTCTCATCCATGCAGATATAAAGTCACTCTAAGAGGAATGAAGCAACAACTTTGAAGAACCTCCTTGCTCTGTAACATATTATTATTGAGGTCATATGACCTCAAATTATCCTACTAGTGTACTGTCTTCATGTTGCTCATGGGGCAGTCCAGGGAGCAATTACTTGCTGGAGAACTGGTATTAAAAACCACCAGGAGAAACATAACTGGCCAGAAAAATCAAATCTTCCCATGAGACTCAGAATAGTTGCAGTGGCCCTGAAGCAAATTCTAAGAAAACATATCTGTGACACAAACTCTTACAAATCCACTTAAATCACATCATATGAAGCTGACATGTATGTGATGACAATATTTATTCTTTTTACTTATGTCACTCCTAGCCAGACAGTGTTTAACAGTTAACTTTTTACAAAACAAATATTTCTATGAGATTTCAAGGAAAGTTTGACAATTAACCATTTTGGCAGATGACTGAATGAGCGCTTTTTCCAAAGATTACCTTACTGAAATAGATCTCAGGTACTGTCTATGTTTCCTAGAAACCCCAGGAACAGAGTAGGCAGACAGAGGAAGTTTTCAAATGTATCTGCATTCAATCAGATTTGAAGAGATTTTAGGACATCTAAATCAAATCCACTAACTCAAACTATCATCATAGGGAAACCGTAGACATTAAAAGAAAAGCTTATTAAGCAGAAGAGTTACAGTCATATTTAGTGTACTCAAAGTAATTAAGGTGATATCACATACTGCATAATACTTTCAACCAGGGCTTCTGACTACCTCCACACCAGAGCATTTATCACTTTATAGTTCAACAGGACTGTTCTAATTACACTCTTAATATAAAATACTTACTTTTTTATTGATATAATATGGATCCAGGTCCTCCAGGGGCACAGATACCATTCCCGGAGGAATATCACCATAAATAAATGGCAGTGTCTTTCCTGCCTCTAAGTCAGGACTTGGCTTTGGGTGATCTTCCTCATGACCACCATCATCTTTATGCTCGTCATCATGAGTTTTTTCATCAGCAATACGTTTTTCGATAGCTGCAAGAGATTCTTTGGTGAAACAGAAGAAGCTGCCAGATCCTGGTGGTACCAGCATCGCTTGTGCCATCTTTTCATTCTGTAAACTTTAAATGCTTTTAGGCTCTTGAACAAGAAGATCCTAGGAGAACATGAGAAAAAAAAAACAAAAAACAAAAAACAGAGAATAGAGGGCAACAGCAATGAAAATATCCAAATAAAAGCTTCTGGCACAGTCATCATTTGCCTCTAATTCTAAAGCCCTGTAGCAGCAAGTATGAGAATTAATTGTCAGATACTTCATAGAAAATTAGGTACCGTTAATGACATAGAGAACAGATGCCAATTATGATGCAAAAAAACCAAAAGGGGTGTGGGGAGAAAGCTAAAATTTGCACACAGTTTGTCAACTCATCTTAAGACAAACCTCACAACAAAAGGAAAAACAAGTCCCGCTTTACCTAGCCTAAACATTAAAACACACTTTAATGTGAAAAAGAAATGTGTTAACACAACTGTGTAGTGCTGTGTTTCAGAGAATGGGGTGGCTGGGGTCACACCACTGCAGTAGCTATCTGCCACCCCTTCCTCCTCACGTTTTTCCCCTGCTCCAGCATGGGTCTTTCCTACAGGCTGCAGGGCTTCAAGGTAAGTCTGCTCCAGTCTGAGCAATCCGTATGCCACACTTCCTTCAAGGAATATCCACCTGCTCTGGTGTGGTATCCTCCACACGCTGCCAAGCAGATACCTGCTCTGGTATACTCCTCCACGCGCTGCAGGGAAATACTTGCTGCACCATGGCCTGTCCCCCAGGCTACTGAGGAATCTTTCCTCCAGCGCCTGGAGCCCCTGCTCCTTCTCTTCCTCCACTGACCCTGGTGTTCACAGGGCTGCTTCTCACACTTTTCTCCTCATGCTGACATATGGCATTTTGCCCCTTTCTGGGTGTGTTTTCCAACAGGTGCCACCATTTTGGCTGAGGGGCTCAACTGTTCTCTAGGGTGGGTCCACTAGAGCTGTGCGGAAATGGCCATATCCAGCACCAGGCTCTCCTCACAGAGGCTGCCCCTGCAGCCCCCCTCAAAACAGGAGCCACAGACACCAAGTACAGAAACACTTTTAGGTCAACTTAATAGCAGTTGAGGAAGATTTATTTTTTAACAATTTTCTAGCAGAAGCTACATTCTCATGGACCTGCAACTTGATGTTACACAAGCCATCTCTTCCTCAAAATCAGCCAGTCAAGGGTATGCACAGACTTCAAAACCCTGTTTTTTCAGCTGAGCTAAACCAGATTCTGATTTCTTGGCAAATACTCTTCACTATGATAAAAGACATAAAAAAAGGCATCTTTGCACAGCTTAGTAAAGAGATGAGATAGAGTATTGGTGAATGAGAAGTGGATTATGAGCCAGCAGCGTGCCCTTGAGGCCAGACAGGCCAATAGTATCCTGGGGTACATCATGAAGAGTGTGTCCAGCAGGCCAAGGGAGGTGATCCTCCCCCTCTACTCCACCTTGCTGAGGCCACATCTGGAATACTATGTCCAGTTCTGGGCTCCTCAGTACAAGAAAGACAAGGAGCTACTGGAGAGAGTCCAGAGGAGGCCACAAGGATGATCAGGGGTCTGGAGCATCTCTCATGAGGAGAGATTGCAGGAGCTGGGCCTGTTTAGTCTAGAGAAGAGGAGACTGAGAAGGGATCTCATTAATGCATTTAAATATCTCAAAGAGGGGCTCCAAGAGGGTGGTGATAGACTCCTTAAGTGGTACCCATAAACTAAAGCTCAAGAAGTTTCACCTCAACATGAGGAAGAACTTCTTTCTGTTGAGGGTGGCAGAACGCTGGAACAGGCTGCCAGGGGGGTTGTGCAGTCTCCTTCTCTGCAGACATTCAAAACCAGCCTAGATGCATTCCTGTGCAACCTGCTCTAGGTGACCCTGCCTTGGCAGGGCAGGGGGGGGTTAGACTAGATCATCTCCAGAGGTCTCTTCCAACCCTCACAATCATGTGATTCTGTTATATCCTAGTAAATGGCTATATAAAAAAATCAGATGTTTTTCCTGTCAGACACAAAGCACTTAAGGAAAACACAGAAATGTTTTTTCTCCAGAACACAAAGCCCAAGAATGCAAAGTCTCCCCTTATTTACCGAAGAAGTAATAACTTCATCTGTGGCATCTTAATGATTCACTGTTCTCAAATGGTGACCCTGAAGATCTGCCCAGCCATGCCTGGACTAAGAAGCAGCTGCCTCTTAAAAGGTACTTTTCCTTCAGAAGCTGGATGACATCTGTTGTTCTCAACATCAAGGGAACATGCATCAGCCAAAAGGGTGAGCAATATCTCTTGAAAGGAAGGTCACCAAGATCCTTTTCCATAAACTTTATTTGTACCTAAAAGCTAAAGTAAGTAACGCAAGTATTATTTGGTACCTTTAGCTTACAACTCTTTTTCAGAAATAAAATTGTGGAGGGGGGATGGGTATTATCTGCTTCTTTATCTTTAAGCTGAAAACTCACAGGGACTTTTTTAACGCAAGCAGCCATGTCCGTTTAAATATGTTTTAAAGCCAAGGAAAGCTCTTACTAGCAGAGGGGCTTTTTCCTAAACCAAGGTGGTAGCAGTGGAAAGTTAAATAGTAGGGTTTCCCCCAGAAAACTCCCCTACATGGTATATTAGCCAATACTGTATGTGGTGTAACAGATTCTGAGAACGATGATCAGGGGACTGGAGCACCTCCCGTATGAAGACAAGCTGAGAAAGTTGGGGCTGTTCAGCCTGGAGAAGAGAAAGCTGCATGGAGACCTCATAGCAGCCTTCCAGTATCTGAAGGGGGCCTATAGGGATGCTGGGGAGGGACTCTTCATTAGGGACTGTAGTGACAGGACAAGGGGTAATGGGTTAAAACTTAAACAGGGGGAGTTTAGGTTAGATATAAGAAGGAAATTCTTTCCTGTTAGGGTGGTAAGGCACTGGAATAGGTTGCCCAGGAAGGTTGTGAACGCTCCATCCCTGGCAGTGTTCAAGGCCAGGTTGGACGAGGCCTTGGGTGATATGATTTAGCGTGAGGTGTCCCTGCCCACGGCCAGGGGGTTGGAACTAGATGATCTTAAGGTCCTTTCCAACCCTAATGATTCTATGACTGCACTTACACAAAATTTGCTTTTTCTGCATTGAGTGATATAAACTATGGTTAATATGTGCAGCTATATGTAATCAGTCTACGCACAGTTATTATCTAAAATAGTTAGATAGTTATATAAACTCTTTTTAGACTGTGAAGAGAGCAAGATCTACAGCCATTAGAACAACTATCTTAAAACCAAATAAAAAAGGGGCTGCCCTTTATAAGCTAAATATGATACCAATTTTTCACCACTTACCAGTCCACCATGCCTACCAACAAGCAGGGGCCTATTTGGCAGTCTAAGAAATACTTACGCAACTTCATGTTTTGATGACTATCTTCAGAAACAAAATATGCAACACCAAACACGTCAACAAAAAGAAAGGGGAGACACTCTCAGAGAATAAGACAAACACATGCCATAACATTCAGCTAGCCTTTTGGAGGATGTTCCCATCGCTTTGAGAAAGAATTTACAAAACGTTAAAAATAGTTGTCTAGTTAACTTTATGAGCAGATACTCAGAGGGTGATGAATACCATGTCTGCAGGAACAACTTACCAAAGATGTACTTGAAAAATGTCACTAACTGTTATGGCTGTCTCTGCATTTGGGCTAAATTTACTCTTCAGAAGCCTCTAATATGTAAAACTAAAAGTTCATGACTGCTCACTTTACCAAATACCACTATGGCCTTATGGCAGTTTTTCTGAGTTGTTACAGATGTTATCAGAATGAAAACCAATCTTGTTGCTTGCATGTTCATATTCCACTGATTTATTCAGGAAGGCTTAAGTGGTATCCTTAGGGCTGAAATGAACTCCAGCATTTCTCTCTAGAGACACCACAGACAATGATTGCAGCACATTGCCCAGTGTTAACATAAAACAGAAAAAAGTTCTTTTCCAACATATAACGTAACTCTGTTCTATTAATGATTTAGCCTAGCAGCCTAATAACAATCTATGCCTGGGAAAAACCCCACACCTATTGAACACATTTTGTGTTACAGTTCATTGATCGTATTTTCCTGTTATGCCTTTTTTAAAGTACTGCAAATACATACACTCTGAAGCAAACTGATGCTACTTAAAGCATTATTTCATCAAAATCAGTTTATTCAAGTAAGAAAATGAGTGGAAAAAAAGAAAATATTTCCTCTCCCCATCAAACCCCTTTCAGAGGTCCTTCTAAAAGCTTCCACACACACCCAAAAAAACCAACATTAAAACCACCAATAGTAAAAAAAAAACACCCAAAACAAAAAAAGAAGCACATAACACCCCCCATTTTCTCAGTTTACTATTAAGAAATAGGCTTCTAATCCAACATAGCTATATTGTGCATGCATGCCTGAATGGAGACTCTCTCCATCAAGCAGGACACAAAAAGCAACTTTATTTATAAATAAAAGATTACAGGCAAACTGCTGGATACCACAGACTACCCAGTAGCACAGCACTAGAAAGAAAGTCCTGGATCCAGGAACAAGCCAATAACAACACAATACAAATGGAAATATTAATATACTTTTATGGAACATGGCAGAATGAGAATTATTATTATTTTCAAATTATCTTTTAAAATATAATTTTAATGTGCATACAAAGAAAAGCATCAGGGTCATATTTATGTCATTTTAGAAACAGTGTATCTCTCATTATTCCATTTTCTATGCTTGATATGTAAATAGATTGCTGCTCCAAAACGTTCTCCACCAACTTGTATTAAATCTAGTCCTGTATTATTTTACAGGCAGAAGTTTGACGTTTTGAGCTTGAGTCAACCGGGCTAAAAAAGCATGAACACATTGTTAATATTTTCTATAGGAATCAAAAAATGTTCATTCTAGCATTTACACAAATAATGGCCAAGCTTAGACCAAAGCTTCGACACAGGAACAAACCCCCAGTACTGAGGAAATGCGTTTTCCATACAGACGCCACGTATTTATCTTCAAGTTTTTCAGAGTTAGAAATAACATATCTGCTCTTGCTTCCACATATTCCATAACATGACAATGAATTTTTACAGCATTATTTTCAATGTTCTCTATAATATCGTATATTTCATAGTGCTATTTTAACAACTCGAATTAAGTTTTCAGCACCTTAAAGAAGCCAGGTGATATTACTAAGTCCCAATAACCATATCTTACATGTACAAAAATTAATTAAAACTATGAAGTTATTACCATGACAGTTGGGTAAAGATGTACAGTAAAATTTAATGAGGCAAATGATCAAATCTGATGAGTCATAAGCAAGCCTACACGTATTTTCTTGGCTATGCTCACTCTTCTGCACATCTGTATATAAAGAATATGGCTTTTTTTTTCCAGGGATATTGAATTTTACTAAATAAATGAAGATTCACATTATTAACTGCTATGTAGTCATTATTCAATGATGCAGCCTTCAGTTAGAGTTCCTACAGAAAATAAGCTGATTTTATCCCTGCTACTTCAATATTACTATTCTCTGATTGTTTGCAAAACAAGCAGCAGGCTATGATACAAATCCAGAAAGTTCTTAGGTAAATGGGTCAATCTAGAAAGCATGTGCTCTAATCAACAATTAAAAATCTAGTATTCTTCCTTCTACTCTCAAGTAATTTCCTGTGTAGATGCTAACAGTACATACATTATTTGTTTAGTTGTAATGCTAAACATCAATAAGAACTAAAACATTTCTGAATTATTAATTGCTCTAAGACTGAATAAATTAGACCTATGGTACATTTCACCCCTGATAATTCTTGTCAGAAGACTGGCAATACAACAGTGCTAAGTGGGACAACTCATTTTAAACAAAAGCTTTCGCCAAGCCCTTCATTTAGAAGTTGCTTCTTTCTCTATAGATTGTTCATGAAAATAATTACAAAGACCAAAGCAAAATGACTATGGAAGACTGACAATTTGTGTGTGGTTCTAGGGATTCAACTTCTTATATGCAACTCACCTTACATGACCTATATCTCTTCTAAAGTTATCCCAAACTAGCTATTTTCAATTCAATAACCTCTGATTTCAAGGGATTAGTTTACAGTGATACTCAAAAGATAGCTGAAAGATATTAATATTGTAGGAAAGAAAAATGTTTAAAAGGTAGAGGATACTACAGCTGATCTTAAAAAAAGAAAATTTCTCTAATATAACCCCATTTTAGAATATACAACCACTTACGTAAACTGATCTGCCTCCGTTATGTATTCATCAAGTGCAGATCCAGGAAATTCACTCTTCACTAACAAGCAAATCCAATCCCTAATGTAACAAACAGAAAATCTGGAATAGAGCCAACTCAGAGAAAATACATGGAAGTTTTTTTGTTGACAATGCAATGAAAGCCAGTGAAAAACATGATTTACATTGTCAGAAAAGTGATGTGTATTTTTATTCTAGCAAGCATGATATTTCCGTCATTCACATGTCAGAGAATGACTGCTATAACATTTTTCCAGACCACAGAAATATGTCTCAAAATTTCAAGACTTTGTTTCTAGTTAGGTCTGAATAAGTCATGCAGCCAAATCCCTGGATCATAATCTTAATTTAAAGCTTTCCCAAACTGTTAATTCCTTTTACAATTTAAAGGCAAGTTTATAACAGATTTGGCACTACATTGAGGCTATTTTTCTCTTCCGTAGCCTGTCAGCCACTGATGTTTCCTCCATTCATGTACTTACAGTAAAAACTCTTATCTCAACTTCGCCTCTGGCAATATGAGTTCAGTGAACCTTTTCTTTGAGACAAATAAATTATACCTGTCTCTGAAACTTGCTTTTACTCTTTTAGTGTTTATGTTACTTTGTGCAACATATTTGCTTTTGTAAATCCTGGTATTTGGTCTTGCATGGTTTCATTACCAATGTGTTGGCTATTTTTTTTTTTTTTTCTCCTCAGTTCTCCAGATTCCTCCTCAAAGGAGAAACAGAAAAATTAGGTATCTCTATGGATACCACATAAGAACATACTATAGTTGCTTGGAGATGAAACAATGAAACAATACTCTCTATATGTATTTTCAAGTAATCATGGTACTTGCACAGTGTTTAGTTTCCTTGTATTCATTAACTAAAACAGGAAAGTCTACCCATCATACAGGATAAATTTATTTTTTTCATATAGAGTACTAAATACCCAGTAATTGTGTTCAGTTACAAAATGGAATACACCACTTCTGCTGTGCGAGAAAGCAGAGCAGCTGAGAGCCTTCCAATAAATGGTCCATTACCCGTGGAGGATCTGCATAATCAGTTTAAGATATTATGTAAAAAGCGTTGGTCCTTGCATATGCATCAAACAAGAGTTTTTAAGAACTTGGAGTCTTAAAAAAATCTGAATCTTAATTCTGTTGTAATGTAGCTGTTGACAGACAATAACCTTGTGAACTTGAAAGAAACTTTTTTCTAATTTCTAATATTGCAATTTCTGGATTTCTTTGTACATTTATGTAAATATCAAAATCTTACTCTGTGCACCTGAGTCCTGCTAAAGACCACACAGCTTTATCAGGATCTGTTTTGGAAAAACAAACCAAGAACAACAAAAACCCCCAACAAAGCAAAAGAAACCCCCAACTAACCAACCAAAAAGAAAAAACTCACTTTAGCTATATCAACTCTTTAAGATATAACACTAGATTCCCCAAATGATGATACAAAATGTGTTTTATCCAGGAATCCTATGGACTGAGCCATGTAGCATATAAGGACTGGAAGTTTTTGAACTAGAAGTAGTTAGTGAAAACAGTGAACAACAGGTAAACAGCTCTCCAGGAGAGTGTCTTTCCTGAAGCAGTCATACTTAAAGGAAGAAATAAAAATATTTCTAAAAAAATACAAAACCCCAATAAATAAGAATTTTTAAAATATCCTTCAGGACTGGCTTCACAGAATAAGGCTTCAAAGGTACAAGTAAAACAAGAATGGCCATGACAACACTGCAAGTTACTTTTCAGTTAAGATTCCTTTTACATTACAGATTTGCTGCAGTGATTCCAAGAAGTCAATAAATAACGCTTTCAGAAAAGAAGAAAGTACTACAGTACTTCTAGATTAAATTTTCAGAAGCACTCTGGCTCAAATTTCACCTTCACTGAATAAATGCCAGCTGAAAAAGAAAAACCAGCTTGAAATAAAATTGTGAAGAAAAGAATAGTCACAATAGGCAGAAGTGTTGCTTTAGAATGTTCTGCCTACATGAAATCCAGACATTCACAAAATTCTTAATGACTGCAGTTATGGCATTACAACCAGCACATGTGCTTGCTTCCCATTTCCTTGGATAATGCAATTTTTAAAATTACTAAAAAACCAAACATAACTCTTCTGTTCAGGACTAACCTTTGGTTTTTGTGACGTAGAAAGAAGTAAGTAAGTCTGGGGTTTTTTTGTTTGGGTTGGGTTTTTTGGCTTGGTTGACTTTTTTTTTTTTTTTTTGGTTGGTTAGTTGAGGGTTTCTTTTGCTTTGTTGGGGGTTTTTGTTGTTCTTGGTTTGTTTTTCCAAAACAGATCCTGATAAAGCTGTGTGGTCTTTAGCAGGACTCAGGTGCACAGAGTAAGATTTTGATATTTACATAAATGTACAAAGAAATCCAGAAATTGCAATATTAGAAATTAGAAAAAAGTTTCTTTCAAGTTCACAAGGTTATTGTCTGTCAACAGCTACATTACAACAGAATTAAGATTCAGATTTTTTTAAGACTCCAAGTTCTTAAAAACTCTTGTTTGATGTATATGCAAGGACCAACGCTTTTTACATAATATCTTAAACTGATTATGCAGATCCTCCACGGGTAATGGACCATTTATTGGAAGGCTCTCAGCTGCTCTGCTTTCTCACACAGCAGAAGAATAAGCGTAATTGTATACAGCATTATATTACATAAGTAATGTTAAATTAGTTTTATCCAAAGGCACTCTCAACTTCCATTAACGTATGACAGAGATTAAAAAAAAAAACAAACCAAAAAACAACAAACCCTCTATCACATTTAAAGTGGTTAAGGTCTCTGAAACTGCCTTTCTTATTAAGCAAATGTTTACTACAAAACTGACATTTGGAAATTACAAAACTTAGAATCATAGAATAGTTAGGGTTAGAAAGGACCTTAAGATCATCTAGTTCCAACCCCCCTGACATGGGCAGGGACACCTCACACTAAACCATGCCACCCAGGGCTCTCTCCAACCTGGCCTTGAATGCTGCCACGGATGCAGCATACACAACCTCCCTGGGCAACCCATTCAGTGCCTCACCACCCTAACAGGAAAGAACTTCCTCCTTATATCCAATCTAAACTTCCCCTGTTTAGGTTAGAACCCGTTACCCCTTGTCCTATCACTACAGTCCTTAATGAAGAGTCCAACCCCAGCAACCTTATAGCCCCCCTTCAGATACTGGAAGGCTGCTATGAGGTCTCCACGCAGCCTTCTCTTCTCCAGGCTGAACAGCCCCAACTTTCTCAGCTTGTCTCCATATGGAAGGGGCTCCAGTCCCCTGATCATCCTCATGGCCCTCCTCTGGACTTCTTCCAACAGTTCCATGTCCTTTTTATGTTGAAGACACCAGAACTCCACACAATACTCCAAGTGAGGTCTCACAAGAGCAGAGTAGATGGGCAGGATCACCTCCTTTGACCTGCTGGTCACGCTCCTTTTGATGCAGCCCAGGATACGGTTGGCTTTCTGGGCTGCAAGCGCACACTGAAGACAGCTCATGATCATTTTCTCATCAACCAATAACCCCAAGTCCTTCTCTGCAGGGCTGCTCTGAATCTCTTCTCTGCCCAACCTGTAGCTGTGCCTGGGATTGCTCTGACCCAGGTGTAGGACCTTGCACCTGGCATAGTTAAACTTCATGAGATTGGCATCAGCCCAGCTCACAAGCATGTTGAGGTTCCTATGGATGCCATTCCTTCCCTCCAGCATATCAACCAAATCACACAGCTTGGTGTCATTGGCAAACTTCCCACTGCCCACGTCGCCGACAATGATGTTGAACAAGACCAGTCCCAACACCGATCCTTGAGGGACACCACTCGTTACTGGTCTCCAGCTGGACATTGAGCCAATGACCACAACTCCATGTGTGCGGCCATCCAGCCAGTTCTTTATCCACTGAGTGGTCCATCCATCAAATTGATGTCTCTCCAGTTTAGAGACAAGGATGTCATGTGGGACAGTGTCAAACTCTTTGCACAGGTCCAGGTAGATGACATCAGCTGCTCTACCCCTGTCCATCAGTTCTGTAGCCCCATCATAAAAGGCCACTAAATTGGTCAGGCAGGATTTCCCCTTACTGAAGCCATGCTGGCTGTCATCTCGTTGTTTTTCATGTGCCTTAGCATGCCTTCCAGGAGAACCTGCTCCAAGATTTTGCCAGGCACAGAGGTGAGACTGACTGGTCTGTAGTTCCCTGGGTCTTCTTCCATTTTCCCCTTCTTGAAAGTAGTTCCCTTCTTCCAGTCATTGGGAACTTCACCTGACTGCCATGATTTCTGAAATATGATGGACAGTGGCTTAGCAACTTCATTTGCCAGCTCCTTCAGGACCCTCTGATGGATTTCATCAGGTCCCATGGACTTGTGTACGTTCAGGTTCTTAAGATGGTCTCGAACCAGATCCTCTCCTACAGTGGGTGCAAGGTCTTCATTCTCACAGTCCCTGCATCTGCCTTCCAAGACTTGGGTGGTGTGGTCAGAGCCTTTGCCAGTGAAGACCAAGGCAAAGAAGTCATTCAGAACCTCAGCCTTTTCCAAACCCAGGGTAGCCAGTTCTCCTCATAGCTTCTGGAGGGGGCCTACACTGTCCCTAGTCTGTCTTTTATTTGCTACATATCTCTAGAATCCCTTCTTGTTGTCCTTAACATCCCTAGCCAAGCTTAATTCCAACCGTGCCTTAGCTTTCCTAACCTGGTCCCTCCCTTCCCAGACAACATTCCTGTATTCTTCCCAGGCTGCCTGTCCTTGCTTCCGCCTTTTATAAGCCTCTTTTTGTCTTCAAATTTTCCTCAGCATTTCCTTATCCATCCAAGGAGGTCACCTGGCCCTTCTGCTGCACTTCTTTCTAGTTGGGATGCAACACTCCTGAGCTTGTACTTAGAGACAATAAGCAACATTTTTTTTCTGAATTAATAGTAGAATGGTAACTTTCACAAGAAGTGAATTTGCTTTGTATTACAGTTGCATATAAAACCAGGATAATACATTTTAAGTGGCATGCTTGGAGAAGGACATCTTTAATGAAAAGCACAGGCATTTTTCCATACATAAAATGGACATGGAGATAAGATACATAACATTTGGCTTCACATCTACATTCTGTTGTGAGAAGCCTCACCACAGACATGAAACTCCTCTACGTTGAATATATTCTAGAGAAATAACTTATGTTAAGCTTTTGCTAGAAAAATCATACAACCCAACAACAGTTTCAGATTAAGTTCTCTCCCATAAAAAGAAACAATCCTCCTTTTGAAGATATTTTCAGTGCAAGCTAAAGGATTCACAACTGGGAGGAAGGAAAGAAATTGAGTATCTTTTGCCTTCGTATTGCCAGGTGCTAGAATTTTCACAGTGAATCCACTGCTGATTCATTAAAATATATCCCCTCAAAGTTCATTTACTATCCAGAGAGACTGCTTCAGCAGCAAATCAGAACCGCTCCATGATTTGTTCAGACCTCATAATTTAGTGATAATTATTAATTCAGTAATAAATAAATTACACTAACACAATATTTCGAAGTACACGAGCGCTGTGCACAGCCAAGAAACTGTATGCATCAATGTACATAGGGTTTTTCATTTAGCTCTTACAGGCACAGATTCAAAATGTCATGTATTTAGCTATGTGCATCAGAATGCTCCATGTAATTACTCAAAGTTTGTACACAATACTCAGACATTGCAGAAACATCTCCAAGTGATTTATTCAAACTCATGCAGGTGTAGCACTTGCTATAAATGTTTTAGACTTTAAGACTGATACATGGGTCAGTGTTGTTATCATTCTGATAACTTTACTGTAAATATTATTTTAAAATAAAATTATCTTGAAGTCCTTACTTCTGCCATTTACAGATTCAAGTCAATGTACTGGGATCCCTCTGACCGACTGTACCAACACCAACTTTACATCAATGAAACTTCCATTAATGCAGAAAGCATTATTGTGAATTATGACTGATTTCACGGAAGTTAAAAAAAAGAATATTGGATGATGTTTTTCCAGGCAGGGAACACGTATGTCATATCCAATAGAAAGATCTAGCTTATTTCAAGAGTGGATTAAAAAAAAAAAAAAAGTCAACTTCTGATAAAAGTTTTAGTATTGTATTTATAATCAATTACATAAAATAAGATTACAGAAATCAGAGAAAAATATAGTTTGGGATGCACCTTTGGAAGTCAGGTAGTCCAAACACCAGTTTAAAATGAGGCTAAGGTTACCTACCTTATATCATCTACAGTAAGAACTCAGTAGGTTTAAGGGGTCTGTTTCAGGTTGCTTCCCCATGCCCTCCACTGGGTCTCTCCAGGATCTCCCAAGGTGCCTTAGTAAATCCTCCACTCATCATATTCCAGCCTGCACCTCATCCAAGCCCAGGATTTTTTTACCAGCTCTCTATTAGCCCTCAGCACCACCTGCACCTCCAGCTGTCTAGCTTGTGTTCTACCAGGCAGAGCTCTGAAGTATTTGCTGCAGGCTTTTGACGGTCTGTTCGTAAATTCTCCTTTCTGGCTTTCTGCTTGTTTTGGGCCATTGCTAATACATATCACCACTGCAAAGCAACATCAACAAATTATGTCAAATCAGCATAAATCCCCAAAAGTGCAGCTGAAAGCTTCCCTTCTGAACAACGAAAATTACCCCAGGTTCCAGTATAGGTTGGGGAACGACCTGTTAGAGAGCAGTGTAGGGGAGAGGGACCTGGGGGTCCTAGTGGATGACAGGATGACCATGAGCCAACACTGTGCCCTTGTGGCCAAGAAGGCCAATGGCATCCTGGGGTGTATTAGAAGGGGGGTGGTTAGTAGGTCGAGAGAGGTCGTCCTTCCCCTCTACTCTGCCCTGGTGAGACCACATCTAGAATATTGTGTCCAGTTCTGGGCCCCTCAGTTCAAGAAGGACAGGGACCTGCTAGAGAGAGTCCAGCGCAGGGCAGCGAAGATGATTAAGGGAGTGGAGCATCTCCCTTATGAGGAAAGACTGAGGGAGCTGGGTCTCTATAGTTTGGAGAAGAGGAGAGTGAGGGGTGACCTTATTAGTGTATATAAATATATAAAGGGGGAGTG